GTGCTCTTTGGAGCCAAGGCCTAGGGAGGGAGCAGGCTTCAGGAGGGTTTCAGGAGCAACATGTGACTGGAGGAAAACAAAGCCATGGGAGGATTTGGAACAGAAGAGTCACATGCTATGACTGGCGTTTTCAAAGGCGGTAGCAGGAGGAGGTGAGAAGTGGGTGGAGTCTGGAAATGATAAAGATAGAGCCAGGATGTGGGGGTTGGAGCCACAGCTCTTGGGAGAAGGGGGTTGGCATTAACCGAGGTGGAAGACTGCAGAGCAGGTTGGGAGGGAGGAGCAGGATTTGCTTTTAGAGAAGTTGAATGTGAGATGCCTGTGGAGCTCCATATGGAAATGTGGGAGGGGAGTTGTTGGACAGGTGAGTCTGGGTTCAGGGACAAGGTCCTGGCAGAAAATGTAAAGCTGTGTTCATCAACATGTGGAGGGAATTTGGGAACAGAGGAGGATAGAGAAGATAAAAGGCCCAAACAGAGCCCTGGGCACCCCAGTCTTTAAAGGCTTAGAGATGAGGAAGAACCAGCAAAGGCAGCTGCAAAGAGGCAATCACAGGGTCTGGAGGAGGAGCAGGAGGAAGAGTGGTGCCGCCCTCAGCCTTCCCACTTTCCCTCTCAGATGTTTCTGGAGCTTGGAGAGACTCTGATGCAGACCAGAGCTCCTGCTATTAGGGAGGGGCAGGGACAAGTAAATCGATGATTCCTTTGCAGTGTAATAAGAATGGGGGAGCACTTGTGCTAGAGATGGGGGTAGACAGCTTGGGGGCATCCAGTGTGGCCCCGGAGAGCCCAGGGAACAGTTCTCATGGAAGAGAGTCAGGAAGGCTGAGACTCCGTGTGGACCATGGGGTGGAGATCACAGTGGCTTCATGGGCCAGGGTGGGCCCTAGATTTCCACAGGAGAAGGTGGAGTGGACAGGCAATTCCTAGCTATTTGTAGAAGTGTCACAGAAATGGTGGGCGGCCCATTTGGGTTGGGATCTCTGGCCTTTGGGGTTACTTGGAGACAAGGAGGGGAAGAGGTGCAAGAGAGGCCATGAGAACCTTTGACCTCAAAGAGACAAAGCCCCACAGTGCAGGATGGGAGGAGGTTGGCTGGACAGGATCAGGGAAGGTTGCTAAGAGGAGGCAGGCTTTGAGGAATGTGTGGGCACTGAGTATGCCCAGATGCACAGAGAAACTTTCTTGGCAGAGGAGACCATACGTGCGAAGGCATGGAGGCCGGAGCTTGCAGTATGTATCCAGGAAGCAGAGCTTGATGGCAGATGAGATTAGCCAGACCTTTGGGAGTCAGACCCTGAAAGGTTTCACCTTATTGCACGGTTTCTGGGAAGCTCTTACAGGTTCCTGAGGTGAGGAGGGACACAGTGGGATCTGCTTTTAGGAAGACAGGTCAGGCAACAACGTACAAGGTGAATTGGAAGAAAAGGGAGGGGGTCCCGGAGGTGATGACCTCAGCAGTAGACACAGGTCGGTCCCATGAGACTCTTTTCCTCTAAGGTGGGCCAAGGGTTTTTGCAAATTGCAGTCTCAAGACCAGACTGCCCTGCAGGGTGCGGGAGAGGCCAGAAATGCAGGAGTGCTCCAGGCCACCGCGACCCCAGAGGACTTTGTGCGGGAGCTGCCCAGGCCAGTTGGAGGGAAGGAGGACCACACTTCTATTTACTAGGTTAAGCTCACATGGACCCAACATCTTGGGTACTTTCTGTCCACTGCCTCCATTTAACCCTCCCTGCAGCCTTGTGAGCCGGGTCCCACTGTCATCCCATTTGCAGATGAGGCACATGAGGCTCAGAGAGGTACAAAGCTAGTATATGATGGAGCCGCCTTGAATCTACATCTCCCTGGTTACACCAATGTTTCAAGATGAGCTAAGGGACCGCAGAAATAACCAAGGAACTGATTTGTCAAGTATTTGCTCTGTGCCAGGCCACACAAATGTCCTTATCAGGTGTATATGACGCATTTATCCAGGCTCAGGAACCTGCAGTGTGTCCCTGATACTCTAGCCCAGTGGTCCAACTTCATTTGCAGGTGAGAATTTTGACACTTAGAACAAATGTGTTGCTGGCCTGAACTGAGATTTGAATCCAGAGCTATGTTCTTTTAAGACCCTCACTTCCTCCAGCCCTGGCAGAGAGGGGTGAGGAGTGGGTTCTTTGTGAGCAGCAAGTGTTCAGAGCTGGAGTTGGGGGAGTGAGCCAACCCGGAACCTGCCCCAGGCTTCGGCCCAGTCCAAGCTGGCTGCCTGACTTTTGTGCCCTGCTGGTTCTTTGCATATCATGGGCCTCCTCACTGAGTGGCCATGTGTCTTCCCCCCTCGGGAAGCTGCACAGGCTGCCACAGGTAAAGTAGAGTTGAATTCAGGATAGGGCCCTTTTTCCTGCCCAACCTGGCCGCTGAGTAACCTCTGGCCTGGAATGAAAGGCTTTCCAATAAGTGCCTTGCTGGCCCACAGCCCAGCTGCGTGGTAGGTGGGTGTGAGGGTGAGAGATATACCGAGAAGGATTCAGGAATCTGAGAACAGGGGCAGAATCTTGCCAACAAATCTCTTAGCAAGCTGCCTTCTCAGCTGATGCCTCTAGAGGGTTTGGGAATGAGAGCTGGTCACGAGGAGCCCTGGCCGCCTTCCTGCCCAGCCAAGGGCCAGGGCCTCTGGGCTCAGGCTCAGCCCAGGGGAAGCAGGTCCCCTGGGGTGAAAACACTAGGCAGCCCAGGGCAAGAATATCGGAAATCAGATATTCTGGGCCACCTCTCCCTTGACCTTGAAGAATGCACAGCACACAGTGTAGGTTTCTCTCCAAGCCTTCCTGCTCAGAGCAGCCTCCGGCCCCTGCCAGGGTGGAGCAGGGTCGGCCGTCAGATCTGACATTGTTTTCACAGGGAGCTGGAAGGCATCCTTGTCATGAAAAACACATCACGCTCAAGGGGGGCTGGAGTCTACTCTTCTCTTGGTCTAAAGTCTCATCTTGGGGCATCCCGGCCCTGCTCTGTGGCCCTCATCTATGACATGAAGGGATTGGGCAGACTGATCTCGAAAATCCCTTCAGGCCCTTAGGAAATCTGTCTAAGGCTCTGGTATAATAGCCGGCCTCTGTGGCCCGGGCATGTCTCCGACTGTCCATGTGTGTCTCATCAGTGTCCGTGCCTGAGCACCTCAGGAGGGCAAAGAGTTCCCTTTGACACCTACAGGGGAAGCAACTGGGATAAACCAGAAAAGGCTCCACTTTGTTTGGCTATGGGTATGTTTTCCTACAAAGTCCTTTAGTAGAGGCAGGGTTGACATTCTAGAAATTCAGCCCAAAGCACTCCCAGGTTACTCCAGATTGAGAAGCCCCTCTCTTCCCCAGCCCTCTCTTTCTTCTGCTCTGTCTTGCAAATCCTCCCTTCTGGAAATGGATTCTTTAACCTCCAGCCTTATCTTTCTCCCAACTTCTCCCTGATCTCCCTCTGGACATTTTCCAGGCAATGCCCTTTACCACACCGATGGTTAGGTGCTTGAGTTTCAAAAGGATTCTCTGCCTGCAAAATCAACACAAGTTAGGGCACCCTAACTAAGGAGATGAGGTGCTATCTGAACGCAGAAGTGCCCACAGGGACAGCTGGAGACTAAGTGGGGCTCAGCGCTGTCAGTGAGTTCTGGAGTTCCCCTGGGAAGGCCCAGCCTGCTCTTCTCCCTTGCAAGGAGGGCATCGATGGAACAATCACTTCTCCTAAGCTACCCTCTGATCCCTAAAGGAAATGGCTGCTGACTGCAATGACTATAGTAGCAAGGAGTTGATGGGAGGCCACAGCCACCTCTTCCAGGAAGCCCTTTATCCTCCTTTCCTCCTTCAGTCCTCTACTCTTCAGCCTCTGGTTGTGCCCCATGGGGAGTTCTCCCTCCTCTTCTCTCTAGTTTGTGGTCTGGAAAATTCATTTTTCTCAGCCTTTATTCCCAGGACAAGATTGAAGTCCCGATGACAGGGGCCAGGCTTCATAGCTCATGCGTGTGTACTCACTGTCCAGAGCAAGCATCACTATGAAAATCTTTGGTTTGTGGATTTGTGTGGTTTCTTTGGCCAAACTTTCTCTCCACCCCCCTTTTTTTTAAATGGAAATAAATTTCTCATTATAAAAATAATTCATGGTTGAAGAAATCAGAAAGCCTGTAATGCCAGCACTGGGATTGACTACGGAATCATTCTTGCCAGACAGTTCTATGAAGACACATCCACATTTGACATACAATAAAGAAATTATACTGTGCTTTTCATTTGTTTTTACAGTCTACTTTTTAGAAATTATTTTATTAAAATTTTTAGAGAGAGAAACATTGACTGAACCCACAATCTATGTATGTGCCCTGACCTGGAATCGAACCCTGCCACTTTTTGGTGTACAGGACATGCTCCAACCAACTGAGCCACACTAGCCAGGGCAAATATCCTCTTTTATATTTGAGCTACAATTCATATAACTAATCCCTAACACTCCAAGGGCTCTGACTTGGACCTGGGATGTTCCCCCCATTATATATGATACTGCAATAAATACCTTCCTAAGAAAATATTTATGAACATCTTTATATATTTTTTTCTTAGGTGGAATTGAAGAGCTAGAGGACTGGCATTTTTGTTAAAACTGTGTAAGCCAAATGTCAGTTCATCCTTGCCCCCAGCATCACAGAGGAGTGGTAGGTGCCCGACTGGCACTGAGGGTGGACTTGCTGGCACCTGTCAGTGGTCCCAGGTCTGGGAAGTAGCTCAGCCCATGAACTCAGTCTCCCCTGCCCACTGCCTGCCCTTTACTGCCCTGAGGAGCGACAGCCCTGGGGGACACTGGGTCCTGGGCTTGCCTTCCAGGATAGTGATACTGGATTCTCCCTGGATTGTTCCTGAGCTGGCCTTGGCCTTGGAGACTGCCAGGCATTTAGAGGAGACTGGGAAACGGTGGCGTGTGTGGCTGGATGGGAAGGGTAAGAATGACCCTGGATCACGCCTTCGATCTTCTGTGCTGCAGGAGGCCTAGGCGGGGCAACGGTCATTGACTCCCTTGACACCCTCTACCTCATGGAGCTGAAGGAGGAGTTCCAGGAGGCCAAGGCCTGGGTTGAAGAGAATTTCCACCTGAATGTGGTGAGTCAGAGCCCTTGGGGTGTTAGGGCCAGAAGCAGCTGGAGAGGTCATGGCCCCACCCTGTCATCTCTGCGGCCCAGAGGTGTGGAGCTCTGGCTCCAGGCTGCCAGCAGAGCAGTCCAGCTATGACCCTGCCTTCCCCTCCGTGGAGCTCCAGGCATGGTGCTCACACCCAGGAAGACCCTTTTAGGGCCGCACCTGCCACAACAGCAATAGGGGAAGTGACTGTGAAGAAGTGACTAATCTGCTCAGAGCGGCTCTTAACCTGACCCTCCTCCCTCCCCTCACCCTACCGTGCTGCTCTCCCAAGCTAGCTGAGAAGCTATGAACCCTCTTGGTTTCCAGCCTCGCAGGCATCCCTGGTCAGGGACCAGAACCGTGGGGAGGAGATGGTAATGTGTCTGGAGAGCACAAAACGCTTCACTACCAGACCTCACCCCCACTGCTCTCCCAGCCCAGACTAAAGTAGCCAATCCATCCTGGAGGCCTCTGCTCACATGGGCAGAGGCTGCTTAGATGGATTTGGGGAGCAAGAAATTGTGACAGATAGGAGAGGGGACCCATTAGGCTCCACGAGTGAGAGGTCCTGGAGGGAATGGAGCAGCTCCTGCAGCTCATGGAGAAGTGAGGCCAATATCAGTACCGAGGGGGCAGAGAGAGCGACGGGAGAGTCTGGGAGAGCAACGCTGCAGGGGTGCTTCCCTGGCTCGGCAAGTGCCTGGGGGAGGCCAGCCTCCCTGGGCCTTAGAAATTACACGGCAGCCACAGTAATGGTGCCCAGCATGCAGGCTTGTGAGCCTTAACTATCACGGAGGTTGTAAAAAGCATTTTATAACCATGAAGTCCAACCCAGATCTAAGTGGTGCCGTTATTATCATCATCACCATCATGATTATTTTGAGGCTCGTTATGGCCTGTGTGAGGAGAGGAGTTTAGAATCCAGGTTCCTACTGCATCGAATGGAGGAAAGGCAGAGGTGGAGGAGGGAGGTGTCTTCATAGACTCACCTTGTTCCTCTGGAGATGCGGGGTTGAGAGTGGGCGTTGGGCAGCTGCCTGAGGAGCCAGATGGGGACATTCAGGCAGGCTGGGCAGGTTAGGGGGTCTCCCTGGAAGAAAGCAAGACATGGTCACTGCCCCTCTCTGAGCCTTGGCTTTCTCATGTGGAAAATGGGAGTGATGGCACCACCGTGCATTGTGAGGCTAATGGAGAGAGAGTATGGCTCGGTCAAGGGGAAAGCTCTCCCAGATAAAGGGTTGACCATTGTTCTTGTTGGTAATGAAAGGCCATTACATGGGAAGTGCACCAAGGAGAGCCCTGGGGGAGGGAAGGCTACAGCAGGCACCTTTCTGAAGCTGCTCCTGGCACTGGGCACTCCGAACCAGCACCACTCAGCCTCTCATCTCTGCCCTGCCCTGCCCGGGAGCAAGGCACCGGGAAAGGGAAGGCTGAATGTCTTGTTCAGAGTCCCAAAGCCGAGGAAGTGGCTCAGGCAGATTTTCACCCAGATCTGGTCCTTGGCATGATGCCCAACACCCCTGATTTACAGACAACATTTCAGAAAGAAAATAACAATGATTCTGGAAGGTTGGGCGTGCCCCTAGGGCTGCAGCTCCAGCAGAGAAATTGCTGTTTACCTATAAGCATCTGCTTGGCGCACCTCCCTCTCAGTCTCAGCCCTGCCCCGTGTGCCCCAGAACCTCCTCTGAGACCCTTCCTCTTGCCCTGCCACCTCAAGGAAGGGTCACACCACCTTCCTACTAAGCCCAGCGGCCTGGCTAGAAGAAGATTGCCTCCCCTCAGGCTAAGCTTCAGCCAGCAGCTCCCCATGTGGGTTCTTAAGCTCCTTGGAGAGCAGCCAGGCAGAACTTTGCTCTGATGGCCTCGGGCAAGGGCTGGGGAAGGAAGCAAAAACCCGGTGTTTATGTGGGATGTTGTAAATGTGCAGTGGCTGCCCGGTAGGTGCCTTTTGTTCTCAAAACCACCACTGCATCTGGGGAACCAGCCCAGGTGCAGCCAGATCAGCAGGGTGGGATCGGGTGCAGTAGTGTGTGACCAGCAGGCATCTCACAGTGTCCCCACTGCCCTGCCCCTTCTTTCTGCCTTGCAGAGTGGAGAAGCATCTTTGTTTGAGGTGAACATCCGGTACATAGGAGGACTCCTCTCGGCCTTCTACTTGACGGGAGAGGAGGTGAGTTGGTACTTCCGGCACCTGGACCTTCCCGCCTGGAAAGGGCTTGGGAGAACATCCATCCCATCCCCTCACTTCCCCACTGAGGAGGCAGGATCCAAGAGGACTTGGCTACCCACACCCCCCACCTCCGGTGATGCCACCTGCAACCTCTTCTGTCTGGTGCTTCTATATTGTTGCCCCAATGGTAGTAAATTCTCTAAGGACAACGACTAGGTCTGCTCACCATCCGGGCAACTCCTTACAAGGCGTGCAGCCATTCCTGGGCTCGGTGTGGGCTTGCAGAGTGCTGGGTTGGTTATTGCAGGTGCTGGTTCACACAATGGATGGAGCCAAGACCATTGTTTTGCCATTTCTACCCAGGGGCCCCTCCTTCTTGTTCTATACTCCACAACCACCCTTTGCCCTCTTTTCTGGGCCAGACACCAGCTCCAGGTCTCGGGGGCAGTAGGGGAGATGGAGCAGCCACATGTTGTAAATACCAGGTGTACTGCGCTGCCTTCCAGAGGGCCGTGGGCACAGTCCCCACACCACTCCTGCCGGTGGCCTCAGCAGGTCCCTAATCCCATCCCTGGGCCTCACTTTCTTCTCCACCATGGGGTGGTCCTAGTCCCCCCTGGAGTCAACAAGTCTTGTGAATGGAGCTGGTCCTTTGGCCTGGGCTCTTTCCTTTCCTCACATTCCCCCTCTCTGTCCACCCAGAAATGAGACATTGAGCCTGTGGGAGGCCATGGAGATAGCTGCTGTCTGAGAGTCAGTTCCCCTTCACTTCATTTAAGGCACACGGGCTGAAGCCAAGAATTTAGAGGCGGCGGGAATGTGCTTTATCTCTCCAGTCGCTTTAGGCCTCTCTCCATCAAAAATAATCTCCTCAGCGGAGATTACCGCTTGTACCAATTTGTCCCCAAATAATTATAGATGGGAGCCCTGGGCTTGGAGCCACCCAAGGCCTGAATTTCATTTGAAAACCCCAGAACAGAAAATGACACATGACGCAGCAAAAAAGCATTCGTGTTCTTCATGGGCCCTTGCCCACCTCTGTCTAGGTTGTGGGAGGAGGGGTGGATGCAGGGAAGGGGAGGCAGTGATACAGGGGGTTTGCGGGGCTGATGTGGGAGCCAGCGGCTCAGGATGGAGCTGGTGCTCCCCAGATATGCTGTCCCTCTCCCTGCTCTGAGGTGTCTGGGATTCTGAGTTCGGAGGCCTCGGCTCCCTAGGATTCTCAACCTGTCTTTCCAGAATGCAGACCAGACAGTGGGATGTGGATAGGAGCACCTGTGACTTAGAAATAGTTTAAAAGGCCCAAGGAGAGGCCAGGTGGCTCCGAGTCCCTGAGCAGGCAGGCTCCTACCTTCCAGCCATGCCTTCCTAGTCCCCTCTGTCCCCAGCACCTCCACGTAGCAAAGATGGGGCATGTGCACCGTGTCCTCTTTCCTCAAACAGCCCATGGAGTGATGTCTTCACCCATCTGCAGGTGGAGGATCTGAGACCTAGAAGTCACTTGCTCAGGTCACAGGCTCTGAGGCTATTTTGAAACAACTTATGACCCGGTGACCTCTCTGCCATGGGCCCTTATTCAGCCTGGCCCAGGGTCACCCTCCTCTCAGTCCTTCATTTCTCACACAGAAGGTGCCTGTGGGGTGAGGCTTTCTTAAAGTCTCCCATGAGTATTTGCAGAATGAACGGTGAAAGAGATCCCGCTCCTGGGCTGAGGCCTTTCTTTGCTTCAGAGGGAACCTGTGGGAGAAGAGTCCCCTGCTGGGTAGCCAGCCCTACAGACACTCCCACGGGAACCACAGGCACAGCCACAGCCACACCAGGTGGCATTGACATAGCACTTTACAGTTTACATAGCACATTCACTATACATATCCTCTTATTTGATGTCTAGAAGGACCCTGTGAGCTGGGATAGCAATACTTATATCTGACAAAATAGACCTCAAAGTGAAGGCCATAACAAGAGATAATGAAGGCCACTTCATAATATAAAGGCTTGGATACAACAAGAGGATATAACTCTGGTAAACATATATGCACCCAATACGGGAGCATTCAAATACATAAAAAAAACTTCTGGATGATATCAAGAGAGAGCGCGACAACAATACAATCATAGTAGGGCACCTTAATACCCTATTGACATCATGGGGTAAACCTTCTAGACAGAAAAATCAACAAGGAAACAGTAATCCTAAATGACTCACTAGATCAGATGGAACTAATTTCAGAACATTTCACCCCAAAGCTATAGAATAGACATTCTTAATAAGTACACACTATTTTCAAAGATAGACCACATGTTAGGACATAAACTAAGTCTCTACAAATTCAAGAAGATTGAAATCATATCAAGCATCTTCTCAGCTCATAATGCCATGAAATTAGAAATCAACTACAATAAAAAGTTAAAAGCAATAGGAGGACCCTGTGAAGCAGTCAGAGCTGTCACCATTCCATTGTGCGGATGAGGCTCAGAGACAGTGCGTGGCTTACCCACAGTCACATACCTGCTAAGTGGCTCCCAGAACAGTGTCCGTTTCGCTCTACAGAATGTAGTTCTTGCTGGCTTCTTTCATCTCTGTCTGGAGCCAGGAGGCCACTGCCCGTTGCTTACCGTGGCTGCCCGAGGCCTTTCTGTGTTGGAAAGGCAGCTTGGTGTCCTGGAAAAGAGTCACTTCACAGCTCCTCCTCTCGGGCAAATTGCTTTGCTGAGACTCAGTCTAGTCCTCCTCCAAGTGGGTCAACACCTTGCCCGCGGCGGCTGCAAGGGATGAAGGTCTGGAGAGGAGACACCTGTCACACTGCGATGTGTGACTTAGGAGAAACAGGTGTTTGGTCTTCATCCTGTTCCTGGCACAGAGTTCCTAAAACCATAGGCATTTCCTAAGCGATGACAATAAGTGCTTTTTGTTATGTTATTGAGGTGACTTTTGGGCCCCAAGTAGGATGGAGGCTGGTTGCCAGGAGTAACAGCCATGTGATTAGAGGGTTGGAGCTTTCAGGCCTTCAAGGAGGGGAGAGGGCTAAAGGATGAATCAGTAGCCAGTGGCCAGTGATTCCATCCATCGTGCCTGTGTGATGAAGTCTCCATGAACACCTGAAGCACTGGGTTCACCACGCTGCTGGTTGTGAGCAGGTGGGGAGCTGGGGAGAGTGGACTCAGAGCACAGAGGCTCTGTGCCCAGCCCCATGTCTTGCCCTGAGCCTCTTCCATCTGGCTGTTCCTGAGTTATATCCTTTTATAATAAACTGGCTCAGTAAGTAACACGTTTTCCTGAATTATGTGAGCCGCTCTAGAAAAATAATCAAACCCAAGTTGGGGTTCCTGGGTAACACCTGCTCTCCTGTTGGCAGCTAAAGAATGGGGGGTAGGGGGCGGTCTTGTAGGCCTGAACCATTAACATGGAACCTGATGCTCTCTCCACTGTAGACAGTGTCAGAATTGAGTTGAATTCTTAGACGTGGAGCCGGTGTCTGGAGACTTGCTAGGTGGTATGGGGGAACTTCCACACGCACATTGGAATTGGGTTCTGAACCCCTTACACACCATTCACTTCCAAGATGTCAAGGAGGAAAGTGGTCCTGCCGGGGTCTTTTCACATCTACAAGGGTTTAAGAATCTGGAGAAGGAGATGTGCATAAATTAATTGAGAGATTAGAGAAGAAATATGGATTTGGAAAGCATTTTGGGGTGCCAGATGGAAACTTAGTTCTAGCGACTAAGCTCCCCAAATCTCCAGACCCCTGGATTTTTATTCCCATATTTTTCTCTATAGCAAAGCAGATATACATATCAAAGGTAAGGCCTGGTAAACAATAAATGGCCATGTGTTGGGGGAACTGCCTTCAGCTGTCTGGCAGCAGGCAATAATATATGCAGATCTTCAGCCCTGCTGAAGCCCCAAGGTTCATCAGCCTTCTGATGAACTTCTTGCATTTATTATGCTAACTACTGGAATTTGCTTCCAGCATGGTCCCACTCTGGTCCACACACACTCATTCAGCATCCTCCCTGGGGTGTGGAGGCCTGCACTGCCAGCGGGCAGCAAGACCTTCCGAAGGAGAAGACAGGGTTTGCTGGCTGAGAAAAGCATCTAAGAGGAGTGAGCGCGGAGTCTGCGGGCAAAGGGAGCAGACAGCAGCCTGGAGCTCAGCCTTGGGCTCCGGCTTGGTGGGTCCCCTGTGTGTCTCTGGCTCAGCCTCCTCAGTAGCCTCACACGAGAGCTATTTATTTATTTTTACGAGAGTTCTTAGTTGTTGCTAAACCAGGGGGTTTTATAGTGACAGGGGACTTGAAATCGGGGTTCTAGACAAGCTCCCAGAAATTCAAACATAGGTGTCCCCGTGGCCACTTCTGGGACCTACTGTCTGGCACTGACATTAGCATCTTCTCTTGCCCAGCACTGCCAGGCCTCATGTGGTCCTTTCCTCCTGCTCCTACCCTCTTACCCTCCTCTTTCACTCCTCCCTACCTCTTCCTAAGCAAGGATCACATCCACTTCCCACTGCAGTCCCTAAACAGCTGAGTCACCATTAGTAAATTGCATGTGTTGGCGTTGGAGGACATCAAGATGACTTTGTTTTGCAACGGCACGCATGAGGTCAGCAATCTGGGTCACCCTCAAGCTGCAGAAGTAAAAGGGAATGTGTTGTCCCACTGGGAGCAGTTGCTTAGGGACTTGCATCTCATCTTTTAAAAGATACGTGATGTTTATTGTGGGCTTGTTTTATGATAAAAATGGCACAGGAAATAGATACTCCACGAGAAGGAAATAAAAGTCCTCCGTGAGCCTACCCCTCCCAGGAGACCCTCGCTAATATTTTGGTGCACTCCATCCTTCCCTCAAGTGTCCATATGAATATAATTTTTATTGAAGTTGAATTACACTATTTTGACATACTTTTCTCTTAATACATTATAAACCCTTTCTTTGCTATTACTAGTAAATATTCTCCCATAGCATCATTTCGGTGGCTGCATGGTGCTCCCTTGCAGGGATAAGCCATCATTTAACCACTTCCCTATTGTTTGCTGTTTAGAGTATTTCCATCTTCTCCTCTAACGATGCTGGAATAAATAGCCATAAGGTTAAATCTTCACAGCATCCTCGATTATTTATTTTCTTAGAATAAATTCCTGCGAGGGACACTGCTGAGTCAGGAGGTCATAGGTGCTTTTGAATTAATCAGAAGAACAGTTTGACAAGTCAGAGCCTCGGGCAGGGACCGTGAGGCGTGGGACTCCTGGTGGCTCCCTGGCCATCATGTGGGGGGTTCAGGATGAGGCATTCTCCTTCTCCTTATTCCCATCTATAAAGTGGAAACAGCAGGCAGAATCCGAAGGGGAAAGGGAAAAGGCCCTCGCCTGGTTTTCAGTTGGGAAAGTGTTGCCCAGAGGAAGCCATGGCTCACGGAGCAGCACACTGATGCCAAGCTGTGAGGCACGGCCTGGAACCGGGCAGGGTCTGGGCTCCCCATCCAGTGCTCTTTCTATTCTGTACACAGTGTGTTTCCCACGAGCTCAGCCTGTGACAGCGGGTCCCACGGTGTGGGCAGGCATAAACCCTTGTGACCCACTGCCCTGATTGCTTCATCTTTCCGAGGGCCACCCAAATCACAGTTATAGTCACTGGTCCTTCATCGTATTCCTGGCACCTTGTAGTGTAACTGTTAGCTAATTTGTATTCCTACCAATAACCCTCCGAGGAAGGCAATATTGTCATTATTTTATGACCAAGGAAACTGAGACTCAGGGAGAGGTGCCTCCCCTCAGACCACAGAGCCAGGAATGAGTAGAGCCAGGCTCACACCCCGCCTGTCCCACTGCAGAGCCTAAGGCAATGCCACCTCTGCTCTGGGGCCGGCAGTGTTGGCGGTTTATCCACTAGTGGCACCCTCTTGCAGTGACTGCACCCCACCCAGCCGAGATTCACAGTGCCCTTTGACCCTTCCAGGTGTTCCGAATGAAGGCCATCAAGCTCGGAGAGAAACTCCTGCCAGCCTTCAACACCCCCACGGGAATCCCAAAAGGGGTCGTGAACTTCAAAAGGTAGGACACGTTCGGCTATATCTTCATGGAGACAGGCACACCGAGAGAGAGGGGACCATGCACGCCTCTGGAACCACAGCCAGTCAGCAGCAGAGTGAAAACTGGGCTCCTGGGCGGGTGCTTGTCACCAAGCCTGGTTCTTGGGGGTTAGGATACCCAAGACCTGATCTTCAGGGGTGGGGAGGGGCAGCTGTTTTTTGTGATTGTCCCAGAACACTGCCTTGACTCAGCCCTCCCTCCCCAGCCAGGGTCAGGCACACCACACCCTCCTGCCAGGGGGTCTCAGGACCCAACGCTGCCAGGGGGTCTCAGGACCTGGGCAGAGGGACTCCTAGTCTGCCGCCCCCACCCTCAGGGCTGGGTCTCAGGAGCCTAGTGTCAGAACACAGAGGGGCTCTGAGGAGTATCAAGCCCCCCGGGGAAGAAAGGATGTGACTGGCTGAGATCCTATAAGCCTGTAACTGTTCCAAGGTCTAAACTCAGGAGTTAATAATTGTTAATAATGATATTGGGATCTCCCCTCTATAAAACAGTAAATCCTCATTGCAGAACACGTGGTTTTATATAAAAAATACTGGATAAGACTGAAAAGTCACATGTGGTCCCACTGATGAAAGAACCCACTGATAATGTTTCCTTCCTTAGCTCTGTCTTAAAACATTGATTTTTACTGTCCACTTTCATCATTTCCCTCCTGACCTGTTGCTTAATTCCGTGTGTGAACTTGGATCTCTCTGGGCCGTCACTAAGTCAGAGCCAGAGTGACACAGCCAGAGAGGGGGAGCCAGGGCTGCTGCTCTGCCCAGCTTACCTGTCCCTCAGTGTTCCCCTCTCATGGGCTGGGAGTGCGTTTATACCCACCTGTTTTCCAGGTATGGCAACTGAGGCCCAGAAAGGGGAAAGGACAGGGCCAAAGCCAGGAAAACTGATGGCCCGGCCAGCTTTAAAATACACTGGGGAGCATGAACCTTGCCCCTGGACACCACAGATGTGCCCTGTTTTGCCTTCTCTCTGTTGCTTCACTGGATTGCCCATCTCTCATAGCTTCCCTGGCCATCAAAATTTAGCTCAGATGCCATGTTATTATTAAGCCAAAAGCCTCTGTGCCTGTCCTGGCTTCCGGGCACTTTATCTCCGTTCTCCCAGCCCTCGTCACACTCATTTTCATGTTCCCCCACCCAGGAGCTTCTCAAGGGCAGGATCCCCTCCAATTCTTTGTGTCTTTAACACATATTCCCGCTAGACAGTGTGTGTGGGATGGGAGTGAATAACAGCAATGGTCCTACATTTACTATGTGCCTAGCATTGTGCTAGGAGTTTCCACATATTGCCTCACCACACTTACTGCTCTCAGCAATCCTTTGAGGGTATTTATATTATTCACAATATGAAAACAGAGTCTCAGAGATGAAGTAACTTGCCCAAGGTCTCCTAGCTAATAAGGTAATGAGGCTAAGATTTAAACTCATTTTGTTACGATCCAGAAAGCTCTGTCTTGCGGCCTGCCAGCCATCTTGGTCTGGAGCCCCTGCTGCCCTGAGTTGTGTGGAGTGGGCCTCAGGAGACCTTGCAGAAGGCACCCAGAGAACTCGCTGGGCCATCCTCCAGCCTCTCAGCCCTCCTGTGGCCCAGGCCGGGGAGGAAGGCTATGCCATTTCCATCACACAGACTTCCCCCTCCACCTCTTACAGTAATTTACCTCAGGGCTTTCAGCCCAACAGGGGCTTCAGCCAGCTGCCTGGGCAGGAAGGAGGACACTGGAGGGGAGGGGGCCCTGGGCCCTGTAAGAGGCCCATGACTCCCGCTGGATCCTGGGGAGGTCCTGCCCTCGGTCAGCCTGGGCCTTGCAGAGGAGAAAAGTCTTGGCATTGTATCTTACTGTCCTCTGTAGCCCAAAAGCTTTCTCAGGGTGTGGCCTCACTTAACTCTCACCAACACCTCTGATGGCAGGGGAGGGGCCAGGGTTGAATCCCCAGGACTAGACACTTGGATCTCTGCTCAGATTCCTTTCCACAAACACTACCCCTAAAGAAACGGGACCAGTTGGCATGGAGCCGGGACACAAACACCCTTTCTTTCCAGCTCTCCCATGTGCAGCTGCTGGGGCCTTGCAGTCTGGGGTCCCTAGGATCCTAGCTCAGGCACCCCTCCCTCCTGTGTGTGTGGCACTGTCAGTTCTACAAATCGCAGCCCAGGCTGTCTGCATTATCCAAGTCCCTCAGAGCCCAGACCTGATACACGCAGATCTGCCATTTCTGATAAAGAAAGCACACGTATTTGGGGGCTGTTGCGTGCTGCCGGTGCTGTACACACAGATAGACATGTGCTGATTTCCTGGCAGCACCCCCTTCCATTTTTTGGGTTGGAGTCTGTTGCTAAAAGTGCGTCCCTATTCCCCAGGGAGAACGTCAGGGATGTATGTGGCCCGAGTGGTGCTGACTCTGCTCTTTGGAGGGTGTCTGGGGAAGCTGGGCCACACGCTGCCCCTGTTCTGGGCAGGGCTGGTGATGGGCCCCAGCAGGAGTGGGGACTGTCCCTGCCCCAAAACTGTCAGTCAGGAGGACCCTGAAGGGAGGTGGTCCCCTAGTGAGCTTTGCTGCCCCTCCTCCCTGATGGGGAGGTGTGTCTTTGCAGCCTGGCCTGGGAGGCAGAGGCAGGGATAACCAGGGCCTGTGACCTGCAGGGACCCCTGGGCTATGGGGGAGAGCAGCAACGGCCACTCCAAGACCCTCTGCAGCTGACTCACTGTTTCTCACACACACATTACACTCTACTGCCACCCATCTAAACGTAAAGGCTGATACACAAGCTCGCCTTTGTCACACACACTCTCACATCCATAAATGTGTGTGCACACGCACACGCAAATATGCGTTTCCATATGCACACACACACCGAGGTATGTATGTATGTGTGTGTGTGTGTGTGTATATATATATATATATATATATATACACACACACACACACACACACACACACACTAGAGGCCTAGTGCACGAATTCGTGCACCTTGAAAGGAACTGTGGGCCCTGAGGCTATGGTGGGCACAGGGCCAGGTCTCAGTCCATATTCTGTGCCCCTGCCTGGCCCCTCCCGCCACAGTCCCCCGTCCCCTGTCTGCCAGCAACCCTGCTCCCATAGCAGCTGCTCCCACGTGCTGACAGTTCTGGCCCCGCTCACACCCGCTGCTGGTGCATAGCTGTCGGGACTGGCACCCGGCGTTGGCAGCAGGTGCCAGCGGGGCCAGAGCAGGCAGCAGGTATGAGGGCCCCGGCAGGACCCCGGCACACGGGAGCAAAGAACTTTCAGTAACCACCTAATGGAAGCAACCACTGCCTCATCTTGGCGCGGCGTCCCTGCTCACCTGCTCCCCCATCCCGCCTCGGCCAATGCCTGCCATGTTCCACACATGCCCCCTGGTGGTCAGCGCACATCATAGTAACCAGTTGTTCGGTTGTTCTGCTGTTTGGTCTATTTGCATATTAGGGCATATGTATATATGTATATATACACATACACATATATAGTATTGATATATATACATATATAGTATTGAAATATATAGAGAGAGACATACACATATATAGTATTGATTTCAAAGAGTAAAGGAGAGGGAGAGATAGAAACATTAATTATGAGAATCATTGATTGGCTACCACCTGCACTCCCTCTACTGGGGATGGAGCCAGCAACCTAGGCATGTGCCACGGGACTATGGCCTCCTGGTTCATGACTTCCTAGTTCATAGATTGACACTCAACCCCTGAACCTCACTGGCCAGGGGTACAGATCTAAATAATTGCCACCGTTCAGTGAGTTTTCACTGTGTGCCAGGCCCAATATGAGCCTGTGACATAGCTTCTCTCTTTCAGTCTCACAATCACCCCATGGATCCCATTTTACCAGTGAAGAAGCTGAGGCTCAGAGAGGTGAGGTGTCTTACTCAAGGTCACTCAGCAGCAAAGTGAAGTTAGAATCAGGATCCAGGTCTGGTGGCAAAGTTAATGATTACATCATCCACAGGTGTGTACACACAGGCACACACACAGATACTCTGCCAGGCTGGGGAGGGCATTGTGGAGCGGCCCCTCCTACAAGGGAGAGAACACAGGCTGCAGGCCCCTTGCAGGTCCCACAGGGCTGACCAGACAACCTCGGGGCTTTGGGTGCTGCTCAGAGAAGAGGAATTTAGGGGTTCAGATTCAGCTCTGCCAGCTTTATCACTTACTGTGTGGCCTTGGAGACAGTGTCTCCCTCTCTGAGCCTAAGCATCCCCACCTATGAAATAAGGATTGTGGTATCTACCCTCCCAAGTTGGAGGTGAAGTTAAAATAAGATACCACAGCTGCCTGGCACATATCAGGAACTTAATAACTCCAGCAAACAACACATAATTTACATGTGCATAATTACATAATGACAGTAATTACATGCATAATTTATACCTCACAATTACTCTGTGAGGTGTGGGTGCTGTCATTTAACGGATGAGGAAACTGAGATCTAGAGAGATTAACCGACCTGCCTGAGTTCGCAGGGGAAGCCAGCATTTGGAGCCAAGCAGCAGAGAGGGAAGGCACCTGCCTGCTGCCCGCTCTGCCCTGGTTGGCGAGGCCTGTCTGCCAGAGCGGCTTCACGACAGAGAGCCCCCCAGGGAGGGTGCAATTGGAGGGCGGAGGAGAGGAAGGCTCGTGTGGGGAAAATGGAACAAAAGATGGATGGTGGCTTTCTTTGTACCTTGAATTTCTCTGCAAGGGCAGGAAGCACCGATTATTCAGGAAACCTTCTGCCCACTGAGGTCACAGCTGGAGAGAAGTCTCGCTTGTGAAGAGGGACAGTCGGGACAGCTTCCCCTTTCCTCTGGGCAGAGGCAGGCCCTCTGTGGGGAGACCCCTCAGGAAGTGCCCTGCAGATCTCAGTTTGAATCCCACCTCCACCACCTACCAGGGTGACTTTCGACAACTCCCTTCCCCCTCTGAGCCTCAGTTTCCTCCTTTGCATATTGGAGTTAATGATGCTTTACCTATGGGCTGTAAATGAAATAATGATGCAGGCAGCTTGCCCCAGTGCCTGCCATCTCTAGCAGCTCAATAAACGGAAGCTGTTTTATTTTATTATCCAGAGCCAAGTGACCCCTCTTTACAAACACATCCCTTCCCACTTGCCCCCTGCCCCCGAATCAGGAAAATGCCCCAGGAAATTGGAGACAGGAAAAAGGGACCGGTGGTCTCCTCTTTGATTACTGAGGTCACCTGCCCCAAAAGGTCCCAAAACGAGTGTCCTCTCTTTCTAGACGCTAGGAGACACGAGTCCCCTGACCCTACTGGAAACCACATCCAGGCCAGAGAATGGAGTATAAAAAGGAGAAGGGGAGCCCCAGCCCCACCCCAGGAAAAGCTGCCACCTCAGGTGGCAAACTGTGACCTCTCACACCCACACCTGCCTTCCTGGGCCTCACCCTGGGAGGCAGAGGGACAGACGGGCTGTTCCTGGGAGCCTGAGCTTTCACAGCAAGGAAGCAAAGGGCTTCCCCCAGCCTCCCTCACACTCACTGCACCTTGGACCCTCTGCAAATGGGGAGCTCACACTACCCCACTCTGTCCCAATCCCGTCCTCTGCCTTTACAATCTCTTGCAGAGGGCGGTTGATCTCTGCAACCACCCTCCTCCCCCACCACCCGCCGCCCCAAGTTGTCCTAAATGTCCCATAGGAGAGATCATGATGCATATGCGGAAACTGAGGCACAGGGAGAGGAAGCAGCTGGCCCAAGGCCACTGCCATTCTGCACCTTTCCCTTCTCTCTAAACCCCCACAAAAGCCCTAGGACGGAGCCTGGGTGGTATTGTCCTTTCCCACTTTGTCTGGTGCAGAAACAAGTACACAAGGAGGCCTCTCGGCTAACACACTGGGACCCGTGCCTCCTGGCTGTGAACCCCAGGAAGGTTTTAAGTGCCTTGCTTGTTATGTAACTAAAAGCATGGCGATTCGGTGGTTAGGACATCAGCCCAGCGTTGGGTCCCAGCTGCTTCACTTGCTGTGTGATCTCCATGGGTGACGTTAATGCCCTGTGCCTTGTTTTCCTTATCTGTAAAAGGGGCACATGGGACAGTTACTGGAGGCCCTGAGTCCGCATTCCTCCATATATATATTTAATTTGTTTTTTTCAGAGAGGGAGAGAGAGATAGAAACATCAATGATGAGAGAGAATCATTGATCTGCTGCCTCCTACACACCCCCTACTGAGGATCGAGCCCACACTTCAGACATGTGCCCTTCACCGGAATCGAACCTGGGACCCTTCAGTCCACAGTCCGATGCTCTAGCCACTGAGGCAAATCAGCTAGGGCTGCACTCTTCCTCCTTGAAAGCACCCTGTGTGTGCAGAGTTCTTTGACAGCCTTGTCTGGTGAGTGGCAGTATGCCTCGTTGACTTTACCTAAGGTTCTCGCGAAGCACTTGGTTCACCAGAGAGGAAATCTTTGCTCGGAGAGCCCCTGCTTCTCTTACTCCTGACCTTGGCTTCCCCAGGGTCAGGCTGCAGGTGTGTGGGTGTATCAGAGCTGCCTGCCTGTCAGGTGTGGGTTCCATGAAACTCCAAGAAGGGGCACTGTGTGTCCTTGGGCAGCATTGGCAGTGAGGGCAGAGGAAAGGGCCTGCTTCTCATCTGCCCCTGTCAGACCCTCCCTCTCCGTGCAGCGCCACTGCCTGAGCCATCTGGCTGCCTTCACAGGGTGGAAGTGGAATGTCTGTGTGTCTTCATGGTCCATCACAGCATTACCGATATCACCTATAATTTAGCAAAGCACGTGCGCTATGTTTTGGCCACCAAGACAGCGTTGCTACTGTCCTGCTCAAGTCCAGTCTTACAGGGACAAAGACCATTGCAAGTCAGACAGGCCTGGATTCAGAGGACCTTCAGCAAGTCACTTCACCTCAAGCTCAGTGTCCTCATCAGCAAAATGGGTCTGTTACTAGTACAGACCCCCAGGGGGGTAACTGAGATTGTGTGGCTAAAGCTTTCAGTGCCTGTGCAGAGTAGGTCCTCCCCTACTAAGCAGGGGAGTCACCCTCGGTAGAGGGGCCAGCTGGCGGCGGGGGGACGTGAGGGTGACGATGGCTACTTATGTCTTCCCAGTGGCTCCAACAGGAGCTGGGGCTGGACCACGACCGGGAGCACCAGCATCCTGGCAGAGTTTGGATCCCTGCACTTGGAGTTCTTACACCTCAGTGAGCTCTCCGGCAACCAGGTCTTCGCTGAAAAGGCAAGTCTTCTCCCTGCTCCCTCCTTGAACAGCCCTCTGCCTTCTCCCCGCAGAGAGCAGCAGAGCGGGCACTCAGCCCTGCATGGCCACAGGAAAGGCTCCCAGATCAGCACGGTGGTGTGTGGGGAACACAGAGCCCCCTGAGTTACTGTGGGAGACCTGACTGTACCCAGTCCCAGGGGGGCAGGGAAGGCGAGCACGGGGAGTAGTCGGGCCCCTACAGAGGGCAGGGAGGAGACAAAGCTGCGGGAGAAGGCTCTCGCCGGCATGTGTCAGCTTCTGGCAACCTCCCATACGTGGGTCTGCAGAAAGCGCCGCGGCTGAAACCTAGGCACCAGCTCCAGATGGCAGGAATGGGCCACCGGCTGCTAAAGCCGCCTTTCCAGAGACATTTAACTTTTTCCTGCGAGAGCTGCCTGGCCTTTCCTTCCAGATGCCCGTCTAGCTCATGCCATCAGCAGGCTGTCAAAGCGATTTCCACCTCCGGGAGAGGCACGTGGCCGCTCCTACTCACTGGTACCAGGCTGGCTAAGGCCACGGGGAAGCCAGAGATGGCGTCCAGGCTGCCATCCATCCTGACAGCTGCCGGTCCTCCAGAGGGACAGTTTCTCCCAGCCTTGGCAGTCCCACTGTCTGGACGTGTCACCTTGGGTCTAACCCTCAACCCTCAGATGACCCTCAGGCTCCATGGCAGGGAGATGAAGCCCTGTCTTCCAAGGAGAGCCCTCTGGAGGGCCCACTCCCAAAGCCGCCTTTTCCCGCTCATGGTTAGTTAGCCAGGGGGCTGGGAGCTCCCAGTGTCCTGTTAGACCGCCGGCCCCAGAGCATCACCCAGCAGGCCCTGGCCCTGGGATCTGCATTTTTAATAAGCGTTCATGTACTTTTTGACGCAGGGTTTAGGAGCACTGCTTATTCAGTGTGGGAATGGACCCAAATTCTTGAGAAAACACTTACGAAGAACAATTCAAATCTTTGATCATTTCCTCTGTACTGGGGCTCACTACCACCCTTAAATAGCCCACCACATGTCAGACCTGGTGCGGAGAGGACTCTGCCTCCCGGCGACATTCCACCTCAAAAGGTCATGCAGTTAGTTTAATCCCACTTTCAATGAATCTTACTGACTGATCCTTTTTCCCACCTCCATGTCCTCCCTCTCCCCCCTCCCCCCCGGCCTCCTGTTTTCATTGCTCTTGAGCCAACTCCTCCAGAAAGATTGTGGCCGGCTCAGAATGGAGAAGGACAAGCAGCTCCCACTAGTCCAGTGGCTCTCAACCTTCCTAATGCCACAACCCTTTCATACAGTTCCTCATGTTGTGGTGACTGCCAATCATAACATTATTTTCGTTGCTACTTCATAACTGTAATTTTGCTACTGTTAATGAATCGTAATGTAAATATCTGTGTTTTCCGATGGTCTTAGGCTCTATAGCAGCTGTTCTCAACCTGTGGGTCGAGACACAGGTTGTGTGAACTGCTAGCAGGGTTGCCTAAGACCATTGGAGAACACATTATGATTCATAACAGTAGCAAAATTACAGTTATGAAGTAGCAACGAAAATAATTTTATGATTGGGAGTTACTACAACATGAGGAACTGTATTAAGGGGTCGCGGCATTAGGAAGGTTGAGAACAGCTGCTGTAGTCCCTGGCTAGTCTCGAGGTAATTAGCTACTACTGCCTGAGCACCTACTGTGTGCTGGTCGCCTTAGAGTGTCTCTAATCCTCCCAACAGCTCTAGGAGTCAGGTCTTCCTGTCATCCCCATTTTACAGAGAAGGAAACTGAGACTCAGAGGTTAAGTTACTTGTCCTGGATCATCCATCTGGGAAGTGCTAAAGCCAGGAGTCAAACCCAGGACTCCTTGTCTCTGAAGCCCACGCTCATTCAAGAGCAGATTAATTCAACAGGCTTCAGGTCTTTCCTCCAGGCCCACGCTCCGTTTCTCTGTCTCCCTCTACATTTACATTCTCCAGCCATGTTCATCCCCCAGCCATGCCGCCCACAGAGGCGATTATTGGCAGTCAACAAATTGGCCCAAATTCTAGAAGCGTCCGCACCCTCTGGGGGAGCTCATTTAGCCTGCTCCACTGCTTACCACCAGGACCGCCGCAAATAAGTCAGGTACAAGCACATTCCTGTCCCCATAATGGACTGCATTAACATAAATGGATGTGAAGTCTGACGTGGCAAAGCAGTGCCGTCCCCTGAAAAGAAAGGGCTGACAGTCAAAGGCTGCTTTCCCTGCTCCTGGCCTTGCAGGTGAATCTGTGGCATGGCACAGTATGGTCCCCGCGGGCCTTTCTCTCCCGCAGGTCTGCATTGGGAGGGTTTCATGTATGCAAGTGGGGCCTTCCCACTTGTATAGCCCAAAGCCCCCTTGCCCTTGGTACCCCCAAAGGTTGCAAATCTAGCTTCCTCTTGCTCAGGTGGGGCAGCCTCCGATACACGTCGCTGCATGGTCCCCGCCTGGTCCGTGTTGGACCCAGGGACTGCTCTGTTTGTTCAGAAATTGTCCTGGCCCTGAGACGTACTGGGTAGCCATGGCAATCACTGCATCTGTCTACGATCCAGGTGTCTTGTCTGTTAAACTGAGCTAGTAATACCACAGAGGTTGTTGGATGATTGGAGATGATGTGTCTAGCAGTACGGCTCAGAGGAGCTGAGAAATGTTGTTTTTAAAAGGTGCCTTTGGTGTATGGAGGAACTCAGGCCTCCCCCCTGGAATGGTCCCCATGGTATCAGAAAAAAGAACACATTACCAGGTTAACCATAGGAAATTGCCAATGTTTGACCATTTCTGATCTATTAAAAAGGCAGTTTTACCTGGTACTTACAAAACAGCTACCATCCCTTATATGAACCCACCCTCCCTGCCAAAAGCAACATGAGTGAGGAAGAAGTGAGATGGGGAGATGGGGGGGCGAGGCAGCAAGGAGGAGGTGCGGGGAGGGGAGAGGGAGCCTGGCAGACCCAGGGCAGAGTGGTCAGCGCAGACACATGAGTCAGGCGCCTGTGGCGCTCCTGCAGCGCCCGCACGTGGGCACAGGTCAAGGCCGTCCCGCCAGCTGTGGCTGGAGCCCGCTGTTGGTTTCACAGCTTCCCCTTCCTGCCTCCTCGGAATGGTTTCCTCGGGCTCTGAGCCAGCTTCCTGGTCCTTGGCGAGCTGGGTGGGGGCCGGCTTCTTCGGAGACGTGAAGGTGTGACAGGTGTCCATCTCTCGGCAGGTCAGGCACATCCGGAAGTTCCTCAGGAAGATCGACAAGCCATTCGGCCTCTACCCCAACTTCATCAGTCCAGTGAGCGGGAACTGGATACAACGTGAGTACAGGGACATGCCCGGTCCTTCAGCGGGTTCCTGCCCAGCTTCTGGGTGTGGCCCTTGCAGGGCACAGACAAGAGTCCCTCGCTCAGTGCTCCTGGGTGCCCCACCCCGCCCCCCAAGTAGCTGGGGGAGCAGTCACTATGGTTGTCATAGCTGTGGTGACACCCTGTGCATCCCCCTCACGCCAGCTGTCTCCAGCCTCCATGAGAGCTACAGCCTCCATCTCTGTGCCCGCTGACGCCGCCATCCCTCACCCTTCCAGGAGTGTTCCTGTCCTAGCCCCTTCGACTTTAGATTTTAAAACTTAAGCAGAACTAATACAATGATATAAAAACCACGAATCCACTGCTGTGTCCTGCACGTGCTAGAACTGGTCCCAGGGCTTCCTGCTGTTCTCTGTGCAGAGACCTGTTCTCAGCCAGAGATGCTGGTCACCTGGTCACCTGTGGAGCCTCGTTCGTAGCCCCCAGCTTCACCTGCTGAAACAGAAGGAGGACTGGGGGGCCACTCAGGCGGAGGGTATTGAAAAATCTCCAGGCCCCTGGCACTGCCCCTGCTGAGAAGCCCTGCTCCATCTTGCCCTCCTGACCAAGGCCCGGTCGTGTGTTGTGGTCATTGCACAAACTGGTGGCAGCAGGTTCCATGGGCCCTGCTCCAGGGCCTTCCCAGAGCCCACGCCTCGCTGCCTCTGCCCAACAAGGGCCCCTCTCCCTCTACCATCCCCTCCTGCCCCAGCTGTTATGGCATCAGCCAGGGCTGGCGTCAAAGGAGACATAGATCTGATTACCACATGGCTGGGTTCATTTTATCTCTTTGAGCCATGGTTTCCTCTCCTTGCAAAATGGGAACAGAACTCGAGATATGTTCTTTGTGTTCTGTGGAGGGGGTTGGAGTAACGGTCAAAAGCTGCAGGAAGCCAAGACCAGTTTGGCTCAATGGATAGAGCGTCGGCTTGGGGACTGAAGGGTCCTGGGTTCGATTCCGGTCAAGGGCATGTACCTTGGTTGCGGGCATATCCCCAGTGGGGGGTGTGCAAGAGGCAGCTGATCGATGACTCTCTCTCATCGATGTTTCTAATTCTCTATCTCTCTCCCTTCCTCTCTGTACAAAATCAATAAAATATATATTTAAAAAAAAAAAAAAGCTGCAGGAAACAGATCTCAGTTCATCTGCTGGAGTTGGGTGGTCTCCACAGGGGCCTTGTCCTTCCAGCCCCAGCCTCCCTGATCTGCAGGTCTGGAGGCCCAGAAAGTTCAACCCAGGACGTTTCCCTGGTGATGACCTCACTCGCAAGCGGCCTCCTGCAAAAACCACTTCTAGAAACGCACAGTATTTTTAACCAAACATGCCATGAAACCCAAAGTGCAGGAGAAAACGAAGGTTTGAATTACAGATTATAGCCACAGGAAGAGACAGCTCAGGAACTGTTACTGCTTTTAATTGCGAGGCCTGACTGGACAAAGAGATAAACTGCCCAGCTGCTGGCCTCAGCTGCTCCAGGACAAGGCAGCAAACACTCGAGAGGACGTGGCTTCCAGCTGACAGCTACCTTGGCAAATTACTGGGGAGCCCCCACAGAGACGCATAATTTTCTCTTCAGGCTGCGCCAGGGGTCGCAGGGCTGGGCAAAGCCAGTCACGTGTGAACATTTGTTTTGTATTAATAACATACGAATCCACAGCCTGCTGAAGAGCAGAGGGGGTACAGGGCCCGCTCCTCTGGGCGCCTGCTCCTCCCTCCCTGGCTCTGTTGCCGGGGTTATCTCAGGTTTTCATTGGGGTGTTTTTTTTGTGATTGAATATTTTTCAAGATGAAAACACTCCCTACTTGCATAAGCTAAGTGTGTTCACATTCTTTTTTCTCCTTGAATCCTGTTTAGCCACTTTGCAACCATAGAAATTGTAGCTTAAAGAGGCAAAGGAGGAACTGGGGTGCTCTTGGCAGCTCCCCACTCCTGCTCGAAGCTGAGATTCAGGGAAGCAGGGGAGACCAAGACCTCATCCGGAGAAGCCGCCAGGCTTCTGCTGGCACCATCACGGATGAGAGCTCAGAGAGCTGCCAGCCCCGGATGGCTTGGCCTCCCTGTCCACGGCCTGAATCCCACTCTCTCCTCCGTGGGAAGGAAGTGGCAGGTCTAGATTCTCCCAAAGGGAACATGAGCTGCCCGTCAGCCCCAGCCTGGCCGCCTCCCCAGTGCGTTCTGTCTTCTGTGGCAGCGTTCCCGGCTTGTAGGGTGGCTGCTGCTTGCTGCCCAGTGTGATGAGAGTGTTGGCGTGGTCAGGAAGCAGCAGAACCCACCTGCTCTAAGGCCCATCGACACCGACTCGGGCTCCCCTTTTAAAAGCATTGTACTGGAGAGACTGAGGACCGGCAGGGGAAATGGCTTGATTGCCAGGCCTATGCTCCTCCCAGTATTGAGCGACACCACACACACACACCCACACACCCACACACAAAACACTCACACACTCACACACACACACACACACACACAAAACACTCACACACTCACACACACACACCCACACACCCACACACAAAACACTCACACACACACACACACACACACACACCCACACACAAAACACTCACACACTCACACACACACACACACACACACAAAACACTCACACACTCACACACACACACACACACACACACTCACACACAAACACTCACACCACTCACACACGCACACACAGTGGCTAGAAAGCAGGGAGACCTCCAAGTGAGAACTGCCCACTTCAGTCACGGTCCCCGGAGACGATACACACCTCCCCACTCGGGTGTCAGGTCTCAGCTGCCCATGGAATCCCGGCGACCTGGCTCTCCCTCCCGGCACACACTTGCCAGTGAAGCCCTGCTCCACGACACACACGTAATGAAGTCCACACTTTTAGGCCTGGCATTGGAGGCCCTTTCCGGCACAGCTCACACCTACCTTCCTTTCATTCATCAGGGCGTCTACTGTGTGAGTAAAGGCACTGGACATAAAATGGGAATCCTGCACAGTCTTCTCCACAGAGCCCTCGGCCCAGTCAGGGAGGCAGACCCACAAACAGTTCTTACAGCATCAGGCACGTCCCCAGCAACGGGAGGATGGCCCCCACTGGGTGCTTCTGGCGGGCCAGGCCGTGTGTGTGTGTGTGTGTGTGTGTGTTTGCCTTACCTCACCCTCCCTCTGGTCACCCTGCAGGGAGGGATGGAAAAGGGTCATGAAAGCAGGGGGAAAGCCTTTCTGAGAGGAGGAGGCTGAGGTGTCCAGTGAGGAAGCCTAGCCATACAAGGTGGTAGAGGGGTAGTCACAGATGAGAAACAGCGTGGGAAGGCTGGGGGGTGGAGACTCAGTGAAGGGAGCAGGGCCAGGAGATGTGTGTAGAGGTGGCAGTGCCCTGGCTGCAACCTGTGGGCCAGGGCTCCTTCTGTGGGCTGTGGGCTTCAGCGGCTCTAGGCAGAGGCTGACTCCATTTGCTTACAGCCTCCCCCCTTCCCTGCTCACACAGACCTCCTACTCCCATATGGACACGCCATTGACATGTGGGCCTGGCACACCCCGCCCTGCCCTTTGTGCTTGCCCAAGCTGTGGCAAGGGATAGGGGGTGAGGGGTGTGCTGTGCTGGCTCTCTCTTCCCTCTTCCCTGGCAAGGTCCAGCCCACACTGCCCCCACCCACTCCTCAGGCTCAGGCTTTATCTGGTTGGTTCCAGTTTTTGCAAGTGCTTGTTCCATTCCTGAACCCTTGCTGGCCAGGATTGGTTTGTGGAGGGGCGGAAGGGCCGGTTCACGGTGGTGGCCTCCTCTCAGCCCCTCTCCCTGGTCCCCAGCTACCTTCACCCTGGTCCTTCTTGTGCACTGTCCTTGCGCTGTGCATCTTCCGTTCCGTCCTCAGCTGACTGTGTGAAGCTGCGGAGAGTGAGAGCTCCGCCTCCTTCGTGGCCTCCGATGAGCGGGTTAGGCTCGCTCTCATTTTCCCGTCTGGTCAATGGGGTTGGTAGTGCTCACCTTGCCAGGTTCGGGGGAAGATGTTATAAATAATACAGTAATATCCTCGCCCACCATGGACCTGGTAGCTGTCAGTGTATTCTCTATTTCTCTTTTTACTGTTTCTGCAAAGGAGCTGAAAATATTCTTCACATTCCGCCACCCCTACCTTAATCCATCCCCCACCCCTCCCCCTTCCTCTGTCTCTGCTTAAGGAGCTGACGCTGACTCTGATTTATATCACTAAAGGCCTGGGTGTTTCCCGTTGTTACTTATTAAAGCATGTGAGTGTTTTCTGTCCGTGTCTTGCTTCTGAGGTTAAGGGTTCCTTGGTCACCCCATCCCCCCACCCCCACCCCCACCCCCACCCCGGACAGCCCTGGGTGGAGATGCCTCCTCATTCAACCACAGCCTGGAGGTCCTGCTCCGAGGGGACTTGGGGCGATGTCACCAGGCAGAGAGGGGCATCCTCAAACCCATGTGTCCTCCCCCTGCTCCTGTGAACTCCACTCATCCCTATTTGCTAAATTTAAACTCAGTACCCTGGCCGCCTAAATCAAGGCTCTCCTTCCTCCTCTCCGTGGCCTTTTAGGAACCTTCCTGGCATTAATTACCATGTTTGTCACCAGGTAATAAAAATCTCCACTCCCTGCCACCAGATTATATTCTTAAAGAAATGCAGCTCATTTCCAGTTAATAACCAGAGGCCCTGCTGTCCTCGGCCTGCTAGAGTGACATGATTTATAGCCCCTGGCTGAGCCCCGCACCTGTGTGCAGGCCACCGCGCTGGGAAGGCCTGGCTCCCCGAGACGTGGGCTGGGTCTCACTCAGCCACGGTTCCGGGCTGGGGGGCCTCCGATTAAATGCTTGCTTCACCCTCACGCTCCGCCCGCACGCAGCACCCAGGCCGGGAGCCCAGGGGGCAGATGTGCGCTCCGCTGGTCCCGCCGCCTCGGCGACGGAGATAATGTTCTGTCTGCTCTCCCCTCACAGACCACGTCTCGGTTGGAGGACTCGGGGACAGTTTTTATGAATATTTGATCAAATCTTGGTTGATGTCAGCCAAGACAGACACGGAGGCTAAAGACATGTACTACGAAGCCTTGACGGTAAGACAGCACCTTCACGGTCCTTCGCCCCCTGTGCTCACACGGGCCCGCTTGCCGGGGCCTTGTCCGCCCATCCCCCACAGCGCGCTGGCCCGGGAGCCACAGGGCAGCTGCCGCCCATCGGTCACTGCACACCTGCCTCATAACTCTTCTCAGCACCTGGGAATTAGGGCCGTGTTAGCAGCCTTGTTTCACGATAGTATCCAGGCTCGAGGAGGTGTGCTCATTTGTCTGAGGCTCACAGGCAGCGGCAGGCGGTCTGATTCAGAAACCTCCGTGTCTGTGCTTCAGCTCATGTGTCGGAGCCCAGAACTCAGCAAACGGTGGCTGGCAGCCCCCATGCAGGAGGTGCTAAAGCAAGACCCTCAGCTATCTTCCTGCCAAGCCAGAGGCGGCAGCTCGTACATCCAAGTGGGAAGGGCTCTGTCAGGGGAGCATCCAGTTCTGTCCCTTCTCTTTACGTATATGGAAACCAAGGCCCAGAGAGGGGAAAACACTTACTCAAAGCCTCACAGCACGGAACTGGCAGAGCTGTAGCCAGAGCGAGGTGCTGGAAAGATAGACGGTGGGTGGGCAGGGGATATGGGTGGATGGATGCATGACCTCACTGCCCTCCATCACAATGGCCGTGCTTAAAGGAAGCACGTTGAAACAGGCCTGCGGGGCTGTGGGCTCTTCAGCTATGGCCTCAATCCTGAGTTTTCCCTGCCCAGCACCCAGCCACCAAGACTCAGCCATGAAGCAGCTCCTGGGACTCCAGTCCCAGCTCAGCCTGGCTCAGCCCATCCATGAGGTTCCATGGCTGAGCCCAGCCCACAGCCAGTGTCTCCTGTGGGGTCTGGTTCCGCTGGGGGCCAGGTGTGCTGCCCTTCGCTAGCCAGGTGCAGTTACCGAGCAGCCTGGTTCCCTGCCCTCAGGCGCACTGTAGTTGAGGCTTCAGGGGAAGAAATGCCATGAATTATTTAAGCAAACGGGGAGCTTTATGGAAACACCTGACTGAATAGGAGACATCTGTCTTTGCTCCTGTATTTGATCTTCCCCTGCAGTGTCTCTGACCCTGGTAAGGACTGGGTCTATGCCAAGTTTGGGCTTTGAAGAGCGTTCTGGTGATTGTCAACCTTGTTGGCCTGTTAAAACCCTGATGGTCCGCCCTGGGCAGTGTGGCTCCGTTGGTTGGGGTGTCATCCCATGCACCAGAAGGTCCAGGGTTCGATTCCAGGTCAGGGCACATACCTAGGTTTCAGGTTTGATCCCCCAATCAGGCACATGCAAGAGGCAACTGATCAATGTATCTCTCTCACATCTATGTTTCTCTTTCTCTTTCCCTTCCTCCCTCTCTAAAAATCAGTTTTTAAAAAATGTTTATCCCAATGGTCAGTCTGCACCCCAACAAGGTTTCATCAGAACCTCTGAGTGGGACCCAAGCAGCAGCCTGGAAAGCTGCTGGGCTGGGGCTGGGGCTGGGCAGTGTCAGTGTGCAGGTTAGACCAATATCTCGAGTGGGCATGGGGGCTTCAGACAGGCTGCCTGGGCAACCCCTAAGGTCATGGGTTAAAGGACAAGAAGGACAGGGCCAGGCACTAACGTCATTCTGGCCTCTCTGGGCAGTACATTTAGTGCTTAAGCCCCATCTTACAGGTGATGAGACAGAGGCTCAGAAAGGCTCGAGGTCACACAGGTATCAGAGGCAGAGTGCAAACAGGGTCCGACTGCCTCAAGGTGCAGTGCTCCTGCCTCTGCTTACCAGCTGCCAACTCACCAAGGAGCCAAAGTCCCTCTCGGGCAAACACCGGGGAGAGGGTGGGGGCCGTCCAGGAGGCTAAGGAAGCCAGAGCCTCTGAAGAGCTCGCAGCCAGCCCAGAAGTCACTCTCATTTTACAGATGAAGAAAGGTCTTCAGAAAAGTGGACCAGAGTCGCCCAGCTCTCACAATGCAGAGCTGGGGCTCCAGCACAGCCTGCCTCTCAGCCAGCTCTTTGCTATGTCTCTTGCCGTGATTTAAACCTCCTGACCACTCCACGGCCAGTTTCAGAAGCCTTGGTTTTTGTGTTGTTATTTTTATCTTTGCATCTGCTCTCTCAGTTGTCTCTTCAAAGAGAAACTGCGTTATCGTTTCCTCTTTATCAAAGTTACTTTGCTTGGGGTCAACCCTGAATAGAAATAATATGGGAGACAGTCTTGAAGATGACGATTTTCGGCTGCAGTGTGAGGCTTTCTGGGATCCCCTCCAGCTCATGTCTGTTCTCTCCCAAGCATTAACAATGGTAACTGAGCCATGTTTCTGCACCTGGGCTAGACCTGCCGCCCGCCCCTGCACCTGCATGCTCAGGGATGCAGAGCAGCTGCCTGGACCAGCTCTGCCCAGCCGTGGCCAGCTGTCCACACCTCCTCCCCACGTGAGCAGGTGCCCTGGCCTGGCCATCAACATTGCTTCCCCCTCTGCTGCTCAGTGAGGGCCCTGCAGCCAACCCACCAGCCAGACCTTACAGAGAAGAAGGAAAAAGCACTCAGGGAGCAAGCTGGGTTTGAGCACCTTCTGTATGCCAGGCCCTGGCTGGAGATTGCTGGTGGTGGCTTCTGCTGTCACACGCCACTCAGAGTCCTGGGAGAGACACGTTCCATAGAAACATACATGAAAGTGTACACACAGTAGAGACAGCACCATGTAGGAAGATAGTGGGAAAGTAGAATAATGTGGCAGCAGTGGTGTGGGCTAAGCTGTTCTCTCCACGGGCACACCCTAAAGAGGCCCCTTGGCCGGGCCAGAGTTAGCAGTGGGACGGGAGCAGCGGGCAAAGCCTGAGGCAGGAACCCTCATCTGCTTCACGCACGTCACCGTGGCAGAGACCTGTGACCTCACTGCAAAGCAGGACCCCCCTCCCCACGTTTCCCTGGCCTGTCCCCTCGATTTGTTTCATTCAAAGTGCTGATCACAAATCGTGATATTCGTGGGTATTGATTTTGGGGAAAGTCTCTGCGCTCCTGAGTGAGCCCCCTAAGGCAGGGTCCAGGCCCATCTTCGGGGCTGTATTCCTTGCACCTCCACAGCCCTGGCACCAAGGAGGTGCTCACAAAATACTCATTGGGGCTGGGGTGCAAGAGTGAAGAGGCCAGTGTGGCTGAGGAGAGAGGGTAGGGGCCGACTGGAGAGGAACTGGGAAGGCCGTTTGTTGAGGACTCTCTGAGCTGGGAAATCGGTTGAGCTCTACAACTCATCTCACTTAACCCTCATGACCCTATGAAATAGTTCATGTTCTTACCCGCATTTTATACGCAAGTTACAGCATGAACGCCCAGAGTCACACAGCTCCAGACTGGTAGAGATGGGTTTGAACCCGAGATGGGGTCCTTGTCCCAGTCCCGGTAAGACTGCATGACCTGGGACAAGGCACTCGGCCCCAAGGAGAACACTGCAGACTCCCTGGCTTGTCCTGGGCGTTAAATGGAAAGGCGTGTAATGAGGGATGTAGAGAGCACCTCTCAGTTTTCTATCGTTTTCTTGTTTTGTTTAGAATCTGATTAAATATATGTGCCCTTGTCCCATGAAAATGCACATACAGCCCTGGCTAGTGTGGCTCAGTTGGTTGGACATCATCCTATGCACCAAAAGGTCACAGCTCAGTTCCCAGTCCTGGCACATGCCTAGGTTGCAGATTCGATCCCCAGTAGGGGGCATGCAGGAGGCAGCTAATTAATGTTTCCCTCTTGCATCAATGTTTCTCTCTCTCACTCTCGCCCTCTTTTTTCCTCTCTCTCTAAAATCAATAAAAACAATTATTTAAGAAAAAGAAAATGCACATACACAAACGGTCATGTACAATTTTAGGGGCATTTGTGGTACCCTGTAGCCCATCCATGGGTTAAGATTCCCTAACCAAGGAGGGTAATAATTCCTAAAGATACTTTGAAATTTTTTGTATGTAGAGATTTTCAAGTCTGTGTAAGAGACTCACCCTGGGGAGCTACCTTATGTCTGCCCCTTCGGCGGGGCAGAGCTCCCATGGGCCCCATCAGGCCCAGCGCCGGCCGAGGTCAGTGAGCTGCCTTTGCCTGGGATGGAGGGCTCGGTAGAGCCCTGTTTGCTGCTGTCTCCAAATACTCACTCTCTGTTCTCTCCGCTCCTTCCCTGTGCCCTCCCACCCCTCTCCCTGCCCAATCCCCACTTGCTCCCAGGCAATAGAGACCCACTTGGTGAATGTGTCTCCCGGGGGGCTGACCTACATCGCCGAGTGGCGCGGGGGGAACCTGGACCACAAGATGGGGCACCTGGCCTGTTTCTCCGGGGGCATGATCGCCCTGGGCGCTGAGGATGCGGAGGAGGACAAGAGGGCCCACTACCGAGAGCTCGCAGCCCAGATCACCAAGACGTGCCACGAGTCGTACGACCGCTCAGGTAATGCTGCCAGGGGACAGGCCGGCAGGACACGCCGAGGGCAGACACCAGGGAAGTCCGGCAGAGTGGGGGAGTGCAGGGAACCGTGGTCTCAGCGAAGTCTCGCCTTCTGAGGTTAGGCAGAATTTGAACAAGGAACATGCTGTCTGTGCACTGAGGTTGTACCTCAATCGAAGGGGAAATAGGGTGATGCATTAAGCCCTTTGTGTGTGCCAGGTATTGTTCAGCACTTAGTATGTCATTGCTGAACCTCACAACACAGAGGAGGAAACTGACGCTCAGGGATGATGTGGCCACAGACCACATGGCGTGGCGCCATGAGGTGGGCCACAGAGCAGGGGTCCTCTGGCCCCATTGGCCTCCTGAGCCTAGAGAATTCCTTCTCCCTGACCCCCCAGCCCCCAGCACCTCTGCTTTTCCTCCCGGAACCCCTCCATGTAGTGGGGCTGGGCACCTGCTGGCACCACCTTTATCACCCTCTTTGATCCAAGCTTGAGGGCTTTCTGACCGTCCGCTCAGCACTCATGCAGTATGGTCAATGCCAGAGTCAGAAGTCACGTTAGAGAACATGAACCCGACTTCCATGTTACACCTGGGAAACTGAGTCAATCCAGAGCCGAAGGTACCGCTGTGAGTGGCTAAGCCAGGCCAGAACCCAGGCAGAACCCAGGTCTCCTGATGCCCAGCTCCCTCCTGTGTGCTGCCTCTGAACAGCGGCCCTCAGCGCTACCCCCAGTCCCCCAGAGCCCCAGGAGGTGTCCACTACTCCAAGTTTAACCTCTTGGCTGGGGGAGATGACCCAAGATTTGCAGTAAAAAAATGCCTGGTTCGGGCGCCACTCCGCCCCTCACCAGCTGGTGGCCTCCGTTTTCTTGCCGTTCCGTGTGAACAGGAACACGGGTCTCCAGGATGGGGTCTCTCCCTGATCCCTCAAAGCACATGGCCAGCGCCCTCAGCCAAGCATGGGGGGGTTGTTAGGTCCACCGAGCTGTGTCTGTGACCGCAGCAGCTGAGTCCTGACTGCGCTGTTCAGAAAGCTAGCAATTCACAACGGGTCCTAAAACTGGTCTTCGAGTCCCCCCCACAAGAGCTCTCTCTGTCAGCGCCATAAACAAACAGGAAACCTCAGGAATAATAAAAAGCTTGCTGTTTGTCTGGGACAATCAGCCCGACCATAAAAGACAGTCTGCGTAATAGAGCATATTGTTCCAGCAGCCTGGCTGGCTGCAAGAGGCGCTCTCGCCCTCACCCCATTAGCAGCTTGGCAAGACGACCGTTTTCTGATGCTAGGAGTGCCGGCACCAGCTGAGAGGCTGGAAGGGCCTGGGTCTGGCTGGGTCCTCTCCCAGGACGCCCTCTACAGTAGAGTAGGACATCCTGCAAAGCCCGTGTTTTGAGGAAAAACAGCTCGGGGCCTCTTGGGTCCTGAATGGTGGTGGGAGGAGGAAGGGCTCACAACAGAACCAGAACCAGGCCCTCGGCCAACCTGGACAGGATGTGCAGGCATTAAAGAGAGGAAGACCCAACCCAACTCTGAACTGGAGGCCTGGAGAGTCAGACTCAGAAGGGAAAGAAAGGACACGGCCTAGCGAGGGGCGTCAGACAAATCCCTGTAACATCCCAGCCCAGCCATAGCGCGCTGTGTTCCCCTGGAGAGATTTCTTAGCCTCTCTGATCCTCAGTTCCACATGCATGGTAGAGGGATAATAACACCTCCCTCACCAAGAACACATTTCTTTAAGGATTAAAGCAGTAAAACCCAGCACAGCCTTTGAAATCACAAATGGTGGCTGCGGTAGTGGTTATTGTGGTTATAATTGTGGTCATCCATAAAACGGAACGGCAGTAAATTGTCCACAAACAAACAAAACAATGGTGGCAGCAAAGCCAGATCTCGCCAGTCTTGCTCCCTCCGCCCGAGTGTGAGTGTGCGCATTCTGGGCAGGCCTCATCTCCATGTCGGCCATCTCCCTAACTGTCCGCTCTGGAAGGCCGGTTCTGAGAGGAGCTAACAGCTCCCTGAGGTCTGAGGCCAAGTTCACTGCATCTGAGCACAGTAAAGGAGCTGATGAGTCCTGCAGGAGAGAGACCGTTTTACCTTTGTAACCCACTGCTCTCCAAATGTGTTTAAACCTGGGACCCTGGCGTGGCTGAGTTCTGATTGACATCTCACAGGGCTTTTATCTCAAAACACACAGTTAGGGAGCACCACCCCACCTCCACCTTTGACTCCTCAGACTACTGGGTAGTTCATTTGGATTCTCAAATTCTCAAATTATAAAATTTTGAGGCCTCAAGGGTCTTGCTTTAGCCAGTCTGGGCCTAGAGGGAAGTTGTATATCTGGCAGGCTCAGCCTTGTCAGGCAATCCAGGCAGGCCTACCCCACACCCTCCAGAACCAACCATCACCCTGTGGGCAGCAGGTGGGCAGTCTGACCCAGGCCTCTGGCTGTCATTCCACAGATACCAAACTGGGGCCCGAGGCCTTCTGGTTTAACTCCGGCAAAGAGGCCGTGGCCACGCAGCTGAGCGAGAGCTACTACATCCTGAGACCCGAGGTGGTGGAGAGCTACATGTACTTATGGCGGCAGACCCACAACCCCATCTACCGGGAGTGGGGCTGGGAAGTGGTGATGGTGAGTGGGCTGGGCTGGCTGGGCTGGCTGGTGGAGGGTGGGAGGCTTAAACGGGTGGCAGGTGCCCCTGAGAAGTCAAGAGTCCAAAACCCCATGGCTCAGGCGCTAAGAGGAAGCTCAAGCCAGGTTAGCATCTGGCTAAAGTTCAGAAATCAAGGGTCAAGGTTGTAGTCACAGAGCCAGGAATCCCCAGCTGGGCACCGTTAAGCCAGGAACTTGAGTGTTCTGACGCCCACAGCCTTGGGGGCCTGGCCCCAGTGCCAGCAAACTTAGAGGGGCAAAGGCAGGACAGCAGCCAAGGGGGCCAGGGCACATGCGGTCACTGCTTTCTGACCCTGAAGCCTGGACCAATGCCTCCGATGTCGCCTTTCAAACCGGAACAGCTGCCCGGCCAGCAGCTCCCTCCCTCCTCTCCCCAGAGCCAGCCCAGCCCCTTGCCACCCGCGCCCTCTCTGGGCTCTGCTCACCCACCCACTCACCCCACCCATCTCTCCTCTTCTCCCCAACTACCTAGTGGAAATCTCACGTCCACTCTAGGGCAAGTGTCAAAGGCAGGTATGGGGACTCTGAAAGTTCCTTGATGGATGCTGAGCCTTCTCTGTCCTCTCCTCCTTCCCACCCACTGCTCCCAGAGGCAGGTACTGCCCTGGGGGAGCCACACCCCGAGTGTCATACTCAGGTGGGCACAGGCCTGCTCAGGATCATTGTCATGGCTCACTGGCCAGAGACTTGCTTCCCTGAGGCCAAGTGTTTGTGCTTCCAGGCCCCATCTGCAAACCTCAGTGGGTGAGAAATGTATTTCTACACAAAAGACAGAGAGCCCCTGGCCTGCCCACCTCCAGCCCAGGGACCACGAATTCACGGAGAATCCTGGGAAGACAGACCCACATCCCAGCCCATGCACACCACCAGCACCTTCCTCTGTCCCCACTGGGCAAGCCTGACAGTAGTGTATTCCATGAGAGGCGAAGAGAAGCATCTAGACTCACGCCGGGTGGAGAGCCCAGGCTCAGCTCTCCCATTGGGACTGAGCTCCTGGCATCAGGATCCCGGCCTGGCAGCAGGCGCTGAGCCTTGAGAATAGCTAAGCCTTCTGCTTCCACAAACACCAGGGGTCTCCCGCCAAGGGGTCAGGGGCCTGCCTTGGGCGAGCTTGGGGTCCTCCTCTCCCCACACCCAGGCCTTGGAGAAATACTGTCGGACAGAAGCGGGTTTTGCCGGGATCCAGGACGTGTACAGCAGCTTCCCCAACCATGACAACAAGCAGCAGACCTTCTTTCTGGCGGAGACGCTGAAGTGAGTCGGGGCTCTGTCACTGTTCTTTCCAGCGGACAACGCGGCTTTCCTAGGGAGGCGGGCGGTCAGCCGTCTGTCCCTTCCCCAGACCGGGGTCTGCAGTCACAGGAAGGGGGCCCTAGGGGCGGGGCCTTAGCATAGTGAGACCCCTCTCCCCCATGGGTGAGCCTTGGCCAGGCCAGTGTCTACTCAGAGTGAGACTGGGTTAGACTCTACCCCTGAAGTATTAGCTGTGGGACAAGTTCAGTTCTGTAACCTGTCTCCCTAAGTTCCATCAAACCACGCTCCTTCTGCAAAGTAAGGAGAACGGTGATGGTGTCGATAGCTGGTGACCTTCCTCGGCAGCGCTGCTACACTGTCCCCTGCACTCCTTGCTGTTCCCAGAGCAGCACCCTGAGCCTTCACCCTGTAGGGTGAACTGGAATGGCCCATTCCTTCTCATAAAACCCCCAGGGCTTGGGAAGCTGGGTTCTGGAGTCACCACTCCCTGGTCATGTTAGTGCCTTAGCATGAGGGGCAACGGGAGCAGCCCAGGAGCCTGGACCAGCGCCAGCTCAGGCCACCCTCACAGAAAGGAGAAGCCAGGTCTGCGGTATCCTGGCAGAACTTCCAGAGCCGGTGGGAAAGGGCCGGAATGGAGCTGTTGGTGCGAGGGCTGGGGCAGGGCCAGGTTAAACCAGGGCTGTCTGCCCACGCCCAGTGCTTTTCTCTGTGTCCACAGCATCCTCCCTGGTCCCACCCTCTGAGTGGACTTGGGGTCTTGGCCCGCCCTGCACCGAGGCCACGGGCCTGTGGCAGAGGCCCCCGGGGTTCATTCCAGGGCCTGTTCCCAGAGCACTGACAGTGTGTCCCCCTCCCCGCCTGGCACAGGTACCTCTATCTTCTGTTCTCGGAAGACGACATGCTGTCCCTGGAAGACTGGGTGTTCAACACGGAGGCCCACCCGCTGCCGGTGAACCACTCGGACAGCGCTGGCAGGGTGGGGGGCCAGCTCTGACCCCGGCTCGGGCCGCCCTGAGCCGCAGGGACGCCTCGCCTTTTCAGGTCTGGGGATGTTCTCAAAGGGATTGGGAACGCAGGCCCCACTCCAGACAGATGTGCTGGACACGCCTCTTCTCCTCTGTGAGGAGATGGCCTGGAGACCGCGATGTCACACAGGCCCCACATTCCTTTCTGTGGAGAATTTCTATGAAACCCACTCAGCCGCCATTCCAGGGCCAAAGGACTGGAGGTTTGCTTATCGACCCCGTGTATTTGGTTCACTTCCTTTCACATTAGGGGTACTTTAGGTTTTGCTTGATTTTGCCTTTTCTCTACTGTTGTGTTTTATCACAAATTATAAGTTAGTTCTCAAAATGCCATGCTTTCAAAAACAATCACCTTTATCAACTAAACCTTAAAGTATTTGTATACGTACAAAAACCTTGACTTTATTTCTATATTTTAAATGCCTCTTGCCCAGCATTTACTATTCGTTCTATTACCTGTCATTTACCTTATCATTTAAGGAGGATTCCCCTTTGATTTGGGTTTAAGTGTTACAAATACTAGTGCTATTTTCATTATTGTAATGGAGAAATCTGAAAGCTTACAATAAAAGAGTTTATTGAATAAGAAATACGATTGGGTTCATTGCACATTAGTGATTCCTGGGGAAACTATTGCAATGTTTTCAGAAAAATCAACCAGCAGTTGGTTTAAGGTATTATATAATTTAGTAAATGACTCCAACTTCTATTACCTTCCCTTAAGTAGGACCTAATATATTCAGAAAGGGGGAAAATGCTTTGGAAAAGTTGGAAGAGGCCCAGAGAGAGGCAGCAGCTTGACTGAGGTCACACAGCCAATGAAGGCAGAGGTGACCCAGCCCCTGTGATTTGCCCACTACCCCAGTCCTATGTTCCTGTGCTCAGTCCTTCAGCAGCTGCTCAGTGAGATGCCAGAGACACTGCCCTCAGGAGGCCTACAGGTCAAAGAGGCAGAAGCACAGTAAGTGGCGTGCCTGCGGGCTATACAGTATGAAATGCCGCAAAGGAGACAAACCGCTGAAGGACGAACGGCTAGGGCCTATCTTGGGAGTCAAGGCGAGCCTCCCTGACCAGATAGCCCTCAGGCTGAGACCTAGAAGCTAAGAAGAAACAGTGGGATGAGCCCACACATCCACCCCCTGTGCTGGCCCGAGGCCCCTAAAGGAATCCAGTCCCAACAGTGAGGTTAGCGCTCGTCCTCCCCGTACCCTCCTCTCTCCCCCGGCAGCTTGTCCACCCAGCTCACTTCACAGGGACATGGTGAGCCCGGCCGCATGCTCGGCCGCTTCCTGTTGGCTCTGTTGCGGTCCCAGGAGCCCTGGGGAGGGGGCCCGGAGCAGGGACTCAGCTCTCTGGGTCACCTCCTGCTCCTCACGTGGTTGCTGTGAGAGTAAGTGGGTGGCCACTGGTGCCTGCGGTGTGGGAAGTGGGGGCGGGACTCTGGTGCCTGCGGTGTGGGAAGTGGGGGACAGGATCTGGTGTTTCCAGCTGCTTCTCACACGGCAGCCAGAGCTGTCGGTGAGGTCCCCTGTCACAGGAGTCCTGGCGCTGGGCGAACCAGCCACTGCCTGAGTCCAGCGAGTCACTTCCCTCCGGGACCCATGGCTTTGGTGGCTCACCTGTGCCCATAAGCAATAAACAAAAACAGCCTCACTAGTTTGGCTCAGTGGATAGAGCATTGGTTCCGGCCTACCGTCCCCTGGTCGGGGCATGTGCAGGAGGCAACCGATCGGTGAGATTCTCTCACATTGATATTTCTCTCTCTTTCCCTCTCTCTTCGACTCTCTAAAAACCAATGGGAAAAATATCCTCAGGTGAGGATTTTAAAATAGAAAGAAAGGAAAACAGAAGAACACAAACACTATAGAAAGGTTAGAAAATGAAGATAAGCTTAAAGGAAAAGCATTCACTGTCCAGCCCTCCAAGGTGAATACCATTATATTTTCTTCTAGACCTTTTTCTGTGAATGTGCAGGATATATTTTTTGTAAATACTGTGCACCCTGTTAATACAATCTGCTTCTGTGCTAACCTATGTATTATGGACATATTTTAATGTCAACAAATACATATTTATCTCATTGCACAGTATTTCCTTATGTGCTGTCTCATGCGATGGGTCTAAGCCCCGATTGCTGGGCATTTGGGTTCTTAGCTACAAATAGAAGTCAACTCCCTCTGATGTAAGCAGTAATATAATCCTATCTAATAAAAGAATGATATGCAAATTGACCATCATTCCAACACACAATGGCTGCCCCCATGTGGACACAAGATGGCCACCACAAGATGGCCAGCAGGGGAGGATAGTTGGGAGGGACCAGGCCTGCAGGGGAGAGCAGTTGAGAGAGAACAGGCCTGCAAGGGAGGTCAGTTAGGGGTGACCAGGCCTGCAGAGGAGGGAAGTTGGGGGCAACCGGGCCTGCAGGGAAGGGCAGTTGGGGAGTGAACAGGCCTGCAGGAGAGGGAAGTTAGGGGCAATCAGGCTGGCAGGGGAGCAATTAGGCATCAATCAGGCTGGCAGGGGAGTGGTTAGGGAGTGATCAGGCTGGCAGTCAAAAGCAGTTAGGGGCAATCAGGAAGGCAGGCAGGCAAACAGTTGGGAGCCAGCAGTCCTGGATTGTGAGAGGGATGTCCGACTGCCCATTTAGGATCGGGCCTAAGAGGGGCAGTTGGACATCCCTCAAAGGGTCCCAGATTGGAGAGGGTGCAGACTGGGCTGAGGCATACTCACCCCCCACCCTCACCCCAGCCCTGTGCGTGAATTTTGTGCACCGGACCTCTAGTATCGATAGTAGTAGTGGTGGTGGTGGTGGTGGTGGTAGTAGTAGTAGTAGTAGTAGTAGTAATACCAGGCCTCTAGTAATAATAATAATAATAATAATAATAATAATAATAATTAATAATAATGCTTTGAAATGCCTTGAAATCTCAAGAGAGTGAACAGCCAGACCTTAAGAAGGACGAGGAAGAGGATTTGTCCGGGGATCCAGGCTGCAGGAGCCAGGGGTAGCTCCCCCGGCACGCCACCAGGACAGGTGAATCCAAGTGTTTCCAGATCCGGCCTTTTCCCTTCAGGACATGAGCTTCCAATCGGCCTGTGTCATGTGCCCCAGCCAAGCGAGGGCAGGGATCTCGACTGGAGACAAAAATAAAGTTGAGCCAAAACCGGTTTGGCTCAGCGGTAGAGCATCGGTCTGCGGACTGAAAGGTCCCAGGTTCGATTCCGGTCAAGGGCATGTACGTTGGTTGCGGGTACATCCCCAGTGGGGGGTGTGCAAGAGGCAGCTGGTCGATGTTTCTCTCTCATCGACGTTTCCAGCTCTCTCTCTCCCTTCCTCTCTGTAAAAAAATCAATAAAATATATTTTGAAAAATAAATAAATAAAAAATAAAGTTGATACCAAAATAATAGACCTGCACGGGGCTGGGCACCAGCAGTGGACTGTTGAAAGGTTTTACTTCAGTGTTTTTCAGGATCATAAAGAGCGTTACGACAACATAGTTGGCCATTCCTTTCCCTCTATCCAGCTCCTCGGAGTCCATTCCTGGAATATCTCCCCACTGCAGAGTCACTTCCAAGTTCCCCGAGGCCCCAGGCTCCCCGCCGGGCCCATGTCACTGTCCTCCTCTCCTCCCCCTGCATCTCGTCTTCTCCATCTTCTCTTACTGCTGGGAGCAAGTTGTAAAAGGAATATTTTAAAATTCATCCTCCAGGGGGGCCCTTGCAGATGAAAAAACATCGTCCTTTAGGCAATTTAACTCCAGCCAGGGATAAAATAAATAAATAAATAAGACCCGGGTATGCTGAGGAGAGAGGAATTAAAGGATGAGTCACGGTCACTGAAGCGGAATCCAAGCTCCAGAGCCAGGCCCTGTGTAGACTCTCCTTCGGAGCCGGGATCACCGTGGTGCTGGGCTCATGGAAGCCTCCTTTTTGCCCTCGCTGTGATGGGGCCCCTTTGCACCTGCTCTCGTCATGTGACAGCTTGGTGCTGGTTCCTTCCCCGGAAGCGTCGCTAGCACCTGGCTCCAGGCACAGAGGCCGCAGAGCATCGCCCCCTGGAGAGGGGGACACGGTCATTTTCCAGATGCCTCCCTGTAAGAGACTGTTTGCGTGTTCGGACTGGCTTCGCGCACCGCATTGTGTCTTTGGCAAGTCAGAGTCCAACAGCCAAATGCCTTGGAAAGCAACACAGAAGCCGAACATGTGACTTAAAGACAGCATCCCTCGGTTCTGTTCCCTGTGCTTCGGGGAGGCCAGGCTTCGTGGTTTGAGAAGATGCTGGCGATGGGAAATGGGCCAGCTCCCCCCAGCTGTCCCTTTTGGGGTCTATCCCTAAAAACACAATCCAATGCCTTTTATTTTGCATCTAAAGATATCTGTTTAGTTTCCTATATTTGGGACAATATATTGATCCTGCTGAGCCTGTCTCTTAAATCAGAGCTTCTCACACTTGAATGTGCACCTGAACCACCCGGGGATCTTGTTAGCACGCAGGTTTGGCTCAGTGGGCAGAGCATCAGCCTGTGGACCAAAAAGAGTCCCAGGTTCTATTCTGGTCAAGAGCATGTACCTAGGTTGCAGGCTTCTTCCCAGCCTGGGCCCTGGTTAGGGGAGTGCAGGAGGCAACCAATCAATGTGTTTCTCTCACATCGATGTTTCTCTGTCTTTCCCTCTCTCTTCCACGCTCTCTAAAAATCAATTGGAAAAATATCCTTGGGTGAGGATTTTTTTTTTTTTTTTTTTAATGCAGGTTTGTATTCTGTGGTTCTGACGTGGAGCCTAAGATCCTGCACTCCCAACAGCCTCCCAGGAGATGCTGGTGCTGCGGGTCCCAGGACCGAACTTGAGGAGCAAGGCCTCAGTGAACGGCCACTCCTTTGGTGTCTGCCTTATGTCTGCAGCCTGGAGTTGTAACCTCTCCAGAGCAGAACAGAGGGACTTAGACGTTGGGGTGGCATCGATAGGTACCTTGGAAACAGGCGTGGCTATTGCCTGCCCAGCAGCTCCCCCTCCTCCAGGGCCATCAGGATAAGAAAGAAGCGGGCTTGCTGGTGGCTGGAGCCACACTGCCCAGCACAGCTTCCTGTGACAATGGAAATGTCCCATACCTGTGCCGTCCGGTGCGGTAGCCACAAGTGGGTGTGGGGTGCTTAAAATGTGGCACGTGCACCTAAGGAACGAATTTTTTTAAATATATTTTTATTGAGCTGAGAACGGTTTGGCTCAATGGATAGAGCGTCGGCGTGGGGACTGAAGGGTCCCGGGTTCGATTCCGGTCAAGGGCATGTACCTTGGTTGCGGGCATATCCCCAGTAGGGGATGTGCAAGAGGCAGCTGATCGATGACTCTCTCTCATCGATGTTTCTAACTCTCTCTTTCCCTTCCTCTCTGTACAAAATCAATAAAATATATTTTTAAAAAATAAAAATAAAATATATATTTTTATTGATTTCAGAGAGGAGAGGGAGAGAGAGAAACATCAATGATGAGAGAGAATCATTGACCAGCAGACTCCTGCATGCCCCACACTGGGAACTGAACCGTGACCTCATAGGTCAGTACAACCATTAAGCCATACTGGCCAGGCTGAGGAATAATTTTGTTTCCTTTTAATTAACTATGAATAGCCTCGTGTGGTTCCCTGGTCGCCAATCTGGACAGTGCAATCTCAGAACTTAGAAAGCCTGTCCTCGCTCACTGACTCCCTGACCCTCCACCAGTGGCATCATTACAAAAATAATCTTCCCTTGAACATACCTGGTTATTTTTATACTCATCCTAGCCTCTGATTGTTTTCTGCCAAAGCCTATAGGCTTTGGTTTTGTTTTCTCACTGTCTATCTGCAGACCACTGTGCATTAGGGCAGGCTGAAGATGAGAAAAGCAGAATGGCAGGACAAAAGAAAACAAGAGCAGGGTGAAACGTGCCCTGTGCTGGGTGACCTTAGGCAAGGCCCTTTCCCTCTCTGAGCCTCTGATTCCCCATCTGTGGAAAACAAGGGTGATTTCAAGGGTTGAGCTCCCCAGTGTAGAAATTCAATACATATAGTGATGATGGCTATTATATGAACGTCCTTTGTAAACTATAAAGCCTTGTGAAAATATGAGGCAAAACATTGCTGTCAAAAAAAAAATTTTTTTTTTAACAAAATACTCTGAAACCTGAAGGAAGCTACATCAACCAGGCCCAAGAGACAGACCAAACTCTCAAAGTAATAAATCTGAGTGTTTCATGCCTTTCGCACTGAGCAAGCATCTTGTTGTTGGCCTGAATCGATGAAATTGGGAGGGAGATTTGTTGACTTTACCAGGGCCTTGCAGGGGGGGGGGGGGGGGTACTCAGATCGGGGTGCAGGGTTGAAGGAAGATGCTGAGAGCATCTGGCCGAGAAGTGTCTCTGCTTTCAGGGAAGGTTGAGGTCCAATTCGTATTTCCTCTTCACGGAATCTGGAGTCTTGACCAATGCTGTAGGCAAAGATTCACCGAGGAGGAAACTGAGGCCCAGAGAGGCCTGCTCTGGTCTAACAGCTGCTCTTGGCCTCTGGGCGGCTCTATGGAAGCCCAGAGCGGAGTCCCAGAGGCGATCCTTTCCCCAGAGGTTTGTAAACTCACCATGCCAGCACCAGCTGACCTTCCCCGGCTCTCCAGCCCTGGGTCCAGAGCCGGCAGGGTGTCTGTGTCTTTAACAAAAAGCCAGCGTGATAAATAAAAGTTATTTGGTAAAGAAAACTCCCCTCGTTTATTATTTTCCGGGGGCTTTGGCTCATCAATCTTCCCCTCCTAACCTGCTTTGTGCTCTGTTGGCTTTGCTTCCTGATAGAACGGAATTTGCTTTTCTAACGGCATCTGCCGTATGCTGGGTGTCCCCAAACATGAATGGCAACCAGCTGGAAGAGGCGCAGTCGGAAGCCTTGGGAAGTCAACACCAGACACCAGGCCCTCAGTAGGTGCCACTGAATGTGGGGCCAGAGCGCCGGGCAAGGGCTGGGTCCAGGACCCACACGTCCCGGTCCCTGGGAGTCATTCATCCAAAAGACACAGGCGTGCCCACCATGTGGCAGGTCCTGTGTGGCGCTGGAAGACGGGGCCCTGTGTGCATGGTGCTGTCACGCCTGGTTACCCATGAAGGACAGCAGTGATGGGAGAGGCAAGCCCCTGACCCCACATAGTCATCCCCTGGGAGGTAACCATGGCAAGAGATCGGACTCAGATAAGCCTAGGTGCAAGAACTCAGGCCCCTTCATTTTATTAATATTTTTTTTATTTTTAAAAATATATATATTTTATTGATTTTTTACAGAGAGGGAGAGAGAGCTAGAAATGTCGATGAGAGAAAAACATTGACCAGCTGCCTCCTGCACAACCCTACTGGGGATGTGCCCGCAACCAACGTACATGCCCTTGACTGGAATCAAACCTGGGACCTTTCAGTCCACAGACCGAAGCTCTACCACTGAGCCAAACCGGTTTCGGCAGGCCCCTTTATTTTAAAACGAGGCAAGTCATCTCCACCTCACCCGGTGGCTTGAGAGCAAAATGAGATCACCTAGGGCCCTGTGCTCAGTGCCTGCTAAACGCCACCGACCTCCCACCCTGGCAGGTGCACCAGCCTGGGTGGCATCTCCAAGGATGGCTGCTCCCCTGGGCTCGGTTCCGATTTGGTCCAGAGGCTGCCCTCTCCTGGGGCTTGACAAACAGGAAAGTATTTCCTCAAATTCCCCCACCTCCAGGCCCAGGTCACTCCCCAAGCATACCCAATGTGGTCTCGGGAAAACCACGCCAGTGCCACGCAGGCCCAGCGGGAAGGGGGCGGCCAGAGACAGCCCAGCCCGGCCGGGTAAGGTCTGCCTCCTCGCCTCAACCCACAGAGGGGTTCCTGACGCCTCCTGCCGTGGGGAAGGCTGGGCCTGACAGGTGTGGGCGCTCGGCCTGCACCCTGCCTGTGTGTGCCATGGACACGTGCTCTCCATCCCTGACCCACTGCAGAGGTGGCCTTCCAGCTGCACCATGAGGGAGTGAGCATTAACTCTGCCATCTTTCCAGCTGACATTTTAGAAGCCAGTGGGTAACAGTGGAGAGGGCTGCCCATCTGCGGCTGGACGGGCAGGGCCAGGACCCCACTCCCCAGGAAGCTCGGGGCTGTGCGGTGCCCCCTCGCCCCCGCCCCAGCCCCTTCCTTCTGGAGGGAGGAGGGTCCAGCCTGGAATGCTCCCCGCCTCCGCCTGCGGGTGGGATGGGGCCGGGTTTGGGCTCGGAGGTTGCTGTGCCGGGAGGAGGCGCGGAGACGGCGGGAGGACGGGCTGAGGACGGCGGGCCGGCCCGGGGCTCCGGATCCCTTTCCGGACGCTCAGGCCGGCGCCGGGGCCGGAAGGCGGGCGCCTGACACGCGGCCCCCGAGGGTCCGGGCCCCTCCGCCCCGCGGCCGCCGCCCCGCCCCGCCCCCGCCCCGCCCGCTCCCCCTCCGCCCGCCGCGTCCCGCCGCCGGAGCCGCCGCCATGGGCCGGTCCCGGCCGGGCGAGCGCGGGGCCCCGGGGCCCGGCCCCGCCGCGCCCCCCGCGCCCCCCGCGCCCCCGCCGCGCCGCGCCCCCCGCGCCCTGGCGCTGCTCGGGGCCCTGCTCGCCGCCGCCGCCGCCGCCGCCGCCGCCCGGGCCCTGGCCCGCTACTCCGAGGCCCAGGCGGCCGCGCGGCAGGTCCGGCGGGGGGGGGGGGGGGGGCGCCCGGAGACTAACGGGGGCGGGGGGTGCGCTGGGGCGGAGGGCGCCGGGAGGGGCCGGCCTGGGGCGGGGGCGGGGCCTGGAGGAGCCGGCACGGGGTCCCCGGGGCCGCCTGGGGGCGCTGGGCGGGGGCGGGCGGCCGGGCCGCAGAGAGGAGGGGCCCGGGGCGCCTGGGGGCGGGGGCGCTGGGCCGCAGGGAGGGGGGAGGCAGGAGAGGATGGGGCTGGGGCTGGGCCGGAGGGAGGCTCTGGGACCCGGGAACAGAGGGGGGGGGGGGTAAAGCTGGGGGAGAAGCGGCCGGCGGGGCAGGGTTCGGGGTGGGGAGACCCCGGAGCTGGTGTCCAGCCCGCCTTCCCCGCAGGAGGCGGCGCTGCAGGCCCTGGGGGCGGAGGGCCTCTTCCTCTTCTCCTCGCTGGACGCCGACGGGGACCTGCGCCTCAGCCCCGAGGAGTTCCGGCCCGTCGCCGAGAAGCTGACAGGTACCCGGGGCGGAGGGAGGAGGGAGGAGGGGGCCGGGCGCCGCCCTCCGCTGCTCCCCTGCGGGCCAGACCGGGTCACCCTGCCCTGACACTTTCTACCTGCTGGTGAGGGCGAGCTGCCTGCACACACACACTCACACACACTCACACTCTCTCACACACACAGTCACACACACTCACAGTCACACACACTCACAGTCACACACACTCACAGTCACACACACACTCACACTCACACACACACTCACACACACACACTCACACACACACTCACTCACACTCACACACATTCTCACACAGTCACACACACACACTCACACACACTCACACACACACTCACTCACTCACACTCACACACACTCTCATACACACACTCACACAGTCACACACACACACTCACACACACACACACACACACTCACTCACACACACTCTCACACACACTCACTCACTCACACTCTCTCACACACACAGTCACACACACTCACACACACACACACACTCTCACACACAGTCACACACACACATTCTCACACACACACTCACACACACACTCACTCACACACACACTCTCACACACACACTCACACAGTCACACACACACACACACTCACACACACTCTCATACACACACTCTCACAGTCACACACACACACTCACACACACACACACTCACACACACACACACACACACTCACTCACACACACTCACACACACACTCACACACACACTCACTCACACAGTCACACACACACACACACACTCACACACACTCACTCACACTCACACACACTCTCACACACACACTCACACAGTCACACACACACACTCACACACACTCTCATACACACACTCTCACAGTCACACACACACACTCACACACACACACACTCACACACACACACACACACTCACTCACACAGTCACACACACACACACACTCACACACACTCACTCACACTCACACACACTCTCACACACACACTCACACAGTCACACACACACTCACACACACTCACACACACTCTCATACACACACTCACACAGTCACACACACACACACACACTCACACACACACTCACACACACTCTCATACACACACTCACACAGTCACACACACACACTCTCACACACACACACACTCACTCACACACACTCTCACACACACTCACTCACTCACACAGTCACACACACTCACACACACACACACCCACTTGCACTCCAGTCTGTACTCCTCACGTGAATTACTATTAATAGCATTCCCTGACCACTCCCTCGGGGCCAGACGTGGCTTGCAGCACCACCTGTGAGTTATCTCTATCCTTTGCAATGCCCGTGAGGCGCACACCGTCACATCCCCGTGTTTACCGTTTGGGAGGCTGGAGCACTGGGAGGTCACTGGTCTGCCCAATCTGAGGGTGCAGAGCAGGGTCATCTGCCTCCAGGCCCGCCCCCCTCACAGGTTTCAGGGTCAGAGTATCAGCCCGGGGCTGGTAAGCAGTCAATAGTCCATTGACGCTATTCTGATTATTTTACTAAACAATAGTGACAAGGGGCCAACAGTCTCTCTAGTTGGTAGTTATGAATGTTTAATTTTCTGCTTTATACCTTAAAAGTTCCACAAACTGTCTATAATGAGCACCTATTACATATAAGTCAGAAAATGAAACTTTTTATTAAAAAACAAAAGGGCCATAAAATACTGGGCATTATTATCTTATCTAATAAAATAGTAATATGCAAATTGACCATACCTCCGCTACACACCAAGCCACACCCACCAACCAATCAGAGCGAGTATGCAAATTAATCCCAACCAAAATTTCTGTAGCCACAGAGAGCAGGAGGGAAGCTTGGGTTTCCCAGGAAATGGAAAAAGCCAAGCTTTCTGCAAACCCTGGCAGGCCTAAGCCTCCACTCAAGGCCACAAAGTTTCAATTGTAGAAGGCAAATAAATTCCAGATACCAGGGTCTACGCTTGGAGTGTGGGGGGAGGGGGGGCTGCGTGTGTGGCTGGCCTGCAAACCACCACAGGCCCCTCGCCCAGGCCACCCCACACCCCAAGGGAACCCCCACCCTGATCCGGGACATCCTTCAGGGCAAACCCGCTGGCTCCCACCCATGCACCAGGCCTCTATCCTATCGAATAAAAGAGTAATATGAAGATTGACCATCACTCCAACACACAAAAGCTGCCCCCCATGTGGTCAAAGATGGCTGCCTCTATGTGGACACAAGATTGCCACCACAAGATGGCTAGCAGGGGAGGGTAGTTGAGAGGCACCAGGCCTACAAGGGAGGGCAGTTGGAAGTGATCAACCCTGCAGGGGAGGGCAGTTAGGGGTGACCAGGCCAGCAAAGGAGGGAAGTTGGGGGCAAACAGGCTGGCAGGGGAGCAGTTAGACATCAGTCAGGCTGGCATGGGAATGGTTAGGGGGTGATCAGGCCGGTAGGCAGAAGCAGTTAGGGACAATCAGGAAGGCAGGCAGGCGAGCAGTTGGGAGCCAGCAGTCCTGGATTGTGAGAGGGATGTCCAACTGCTGGTTTGAGCCCAACCCCACCATGATCTGGTCTAAACGGGCAGTAGGAGACATCCCTCGAGGGGTCCCAGATTGGAGAGGGTTCAGGCTGGGCCTGAGGGACAACGCCCTCCCCCCACCCCCCCGGGGAAAGATTCTGTGCACCAGGCCTTTAGTTAATAATAATCTGGACAACTGTAATATAAGCAATTAGGTTCTGCCAGATGCCTCTCCCATTCTTGCTACCCATTTTTGCCTGGCTGTAACCAGTGGTTGTTGGGTTTTTGTTATTGTTATTGTTTTATAAAGATGAAGGCCTGAAGCATTTAATCTATAAATATAGAAGCCTAAGTGACCGAACGACTGAACAACTGGTTGCTATAACGCACACTGACTACCAGGGGGCAGACACTCAACACAGGAGCTGCCCCTGGTGGTCAGTGCACCAATGGGTCCCCATCGGGACTGGGCGAGACCTCGGTGACCCATTCACTGGCTAGGCTGAGGGACCCCACCCATGCACCAAATCATGTACCAGGCTTCTAGGGAACTGCAACATGCTCTCTCACCACCACCCCAACCCCAAATGTGTCCATTTCTGGTGACTTTTCTTTTTTTTTTTTCTTTTTAAAATATATTTTATTGATTTTTACAGAGTGGAAGGGAGAAGGATAGTTAGAAACATCGATGATGAGAGAGAAACATCCATCAGCTGCCTCTTGCACACTCCCTACTGGGGATGTGTCCGCAACCAAGGTATATGCCCTTGCCAGGAATCGAACCTTGGACCCTTGAGTCCACAGGCCAATGCTCTATCCACTGAGCTACACCAGTCAGGTCATCTGGTGGCATTTCTTGAGCTTACGATCTTGGGCACCTACTTGTTACCCAAGTGGCCCAGGATCAGCAGGTCAGTTGATGGGAAAGGCAGAGAGATGCCAGCTGCTCCCCAGTGAGGAAGCACCCAAGCCCCTGGCGGGCTCTGGGTCCGGGATGGGCCGGGGGCTGTGGTCACAGCCAGAGGAGCAGACTCAGAGGGAAGCTGCTGACTGGCCGGAGCGGACGCGGGCCAGTGTGTTGGTGACAGCCAGTTCTGTGGTAAAAGCAGACGGCAGGCAGGAGGGCAGCCCCCTGAGGCCTGGCTCCAAACTCTAACTTAGACACACTGCTCCGCGCACCCACACAGCCCCCTCCTCGTCCTTCTTCATGGACGGAGAGCAAGATAAAGGCCACGCCTGCTGGGCTTGGGGGCCATTTTAATTTTTAAAGAATAAATCCCCTTACCTTTGAGGCCACTGTGAGTGCAAAACTGGACCAAGTTTGGGGAAAACAAAATTTAAAACAAACAAAAACACAAAACACCAAATCTAAGCAGTGACAAGGGGCCAACAGTCTCTCTAGTTGGTACAGTTATGAGTGTTTAATTTTCTGCTTTATACCTTAAAAGTTTCACAAGCTGTCTATAATGAGCAATTGTTACTTATAAGTCAGGAAATCAAACTTTTTATTAAAAAACGAAAAGGCCATAAAATGCTGGGCCTTATTGTTTTTTTTTAAAATATATTTTATTGATTTTTTACAGAGAGGAAGGGAGAGGGATAGAGAGCTAGAAAGGTCGATGAGAGAGAAACATCGACCAGCTGCCTCTTGCACACCCCTACCGGGGATGTGCCCGCAACCAAGGTACATGCCTCTGACCGGAATCGAACCTGGGACCTTTCAGTCCGCAGACCAATGCTCTATCCACTGAGCCAAACCGGCTTCGGCTGGGCCTTATTAATAATAATCTGGACAACAGTAAAATAAGCAAGCATGCCTACTTAGAGGCCCCCAGGTGGCCGGTTTTAGGGGAGATTTGCCGGTTTTAGGGGAGATTGGCTGCAGTGACTTACAAATGCAGGAATGTCAGTGATTCTTTAGGACTGGGATTCAGGGCGGGAGACCTGGGGGTGCCAGTGAGAAGGGCAGTTCGCTGATTCCAGCCCCTTGGGGTTCCTGCTCAGCAGGTCTGAGATGGGCCCGGGGCATCTGGAAGTGCAGAAAGCTTCCTGAGGAATTCTGATAATCCCGGTTAAGCACTGCTGCCAGCCCTGACCGATTTAACTCAGTGGATAGAGCGTCGGCCTGCGGACTCGAGGGTCCCAGATTCGATTCCAGCCAAGGGCATGTACCTTGGTTGCCAGCACATTCCCAGTAGGGGGTGTGCAGGAGGCAGCTGATCGATGTTTTTCTCTCATGGTTGTTCTAATTATCCCTCTCCCTTACTCTCTGTAAAAAACAAATCAACAAAATATATTTTTTTTTTAAAAAACAAAACTGTTTTTGATGCACCCAGGCAGTCTGTCAGCAGATGGCAGATGGCACCACGCGTGGTCCCTGCCAGGAGCCTGCAATGGGAGAGCAGGTGTGACAGGACCCGCTGCTGCTTTATTCTGTGTCCTGGGCCCTGCCCTTCCGTTCGTCCCCTCCTTTCCCCCGTAGACCCTCACCAGAACTCCTTCAACACCTGAAAGGTCACAGACTTAGCCGGCCCTCTCTGAGCAGGAAGAGGTCTGAGAAATCCCGGTCAGCCACTGCCGGCCCATCCTTCCTCACACACGTGGAAATGATGCCACAGGGACTCAGGGCGAAGCAGGCTCCTCACTCCCAAGTCAGTGCTCTTCCCTCGACAGCGAAAACGGCCTGATCCGTTTCCTGCTTCGTTCTTGGAGGAGGCGGAGGCCCTGAGAGCTCACCTCCCCCAGAAGAGGGTCGTGGTTAGTGGTGGATTGGGAGTGACACAGGCCTGGGTTTGAACCCTGACTCCCCCACTGCCTCGCTGTGTGACCCTGGAGAAGTGGCACCACCTCTCTGAGCCTCTGTTTCTCATTCATCACACGGGAGTTGGCAGTGATGCTGTCCGCCTCCCAGGGCTCCTCTGACACGAAAATGTGACGTGTGTTGGTCCTTACGTGGGCGATGGCTCACTGTTACCCCGGCTCCAGGCCCGGTTCCCTCAGTCACAGGCCAGAGTGGATGCTGAGGGCTGGCCCTCCCCGTCTGTGTCTGTAGGGTCCACGCCCACCGCCAGCTACGAGGAGGAGGAGCTGGCCCTCGACCCCAGCGAGGAGACTCTCACCATAGAAGCCCGGTTCCAGCCTCTGCTCCCCGAGTCCATGACCAAGAGCAAAGACGGGTTCCTGGGGGTGAGTTGGGGTGGGGCTAGAGGTCCCCACAGGTGGGACTTAGGGAGGAGGGCCGTCTGGGCGCTCGCCGCCTGAGGACGGGATGTGTTCCTCTCTCCGTCTTCCTCCATCAGCTGCCCTCTGTGCCCCCGGCACCAGGCCCCGGGGGGCCAGAGGCAAGTGCGATGCCATCCCTGCGTCCGGGCACACAGTCCGGTGGGGGAGGCAGGAGGGATGAGCATGAGCCTGGGAACCGGATGGGGGTCTGGGCTGGCTTCCTGGAGCAGCGACCTGGCAGGATGCAGGAGGAGGAGGGTTAGCCGGTGAGGCGGGCAGGAAGGGCCTGGCTGGAGGACACAGCCGTGCCCTGGAGGCTGTTGGTGCAGCTGCCTCATTAGAACCGTTGCTTTCTGCAAGTCGGTCTGTGCCCGCAGGCTGTGCTTGCTGAGGGCCAGCCCTGTGTCCCCCACGTCTGCCACCCCATCCCCGGACCCTTAGCACGATGCCCCGCACCTGACTGGTGCTCAGTGGACTCAGACCTAAGGTTCTGCCCCAGCAGGGGCTGTGTATGGGGGGGGGGGGGGGGGGAGATGCCTGACAAACGCTTTGCTGACCAGCCCGCTCGGCCCGAGGCCCCGTGGACAAGGTCCAGCCCATCCTGGGACCTGAACATCCCGGGTGAGGCCCTGAGAGCAGGCGCTGGAGGAGGACAGCCTGGAGGATGCAGTGGGAGGCGCGGGGCGAGGCTGCTGATGGGAAGTGACAGAGGGTGACTCAGGCTCTGGCTGGTGGCCAGGAGCGGCGGCCGTTAGCCCCGTGGACCGGAGGGAGGAAGCGGGTCTGGTGGAGGCAGAGGGGGGTTTGGACAGACTGAAGTGAGGCCCTGGGGATGTCGGCGGGGAGTCGAGTGAGCGGTTTGAAGCCCGGGTTTGCCTTCCATGCACAGTGCTGGGTGGAGATGGGTTTGGTGGGGATGAGCCCGGAGTTGGGCTGAAGCTAAATGAGCAATGAATCCCCTGCAGAGCAGTGAGGGCCTGCGCTTACAGGGGAGGGGGGTGAGAGCAGCGCCCAGTCCGCCCCCTGGCAGAGCGGCCCCTTTTGCAGGCCGCTCCCCTGCAGGTCCCGGGAGCGGGACCCTGTGAGCAGGACCCAACAGGGGTGATGCCGGGCCCTGCACAGCCAGTGTGCCTGTTCCTCCTCCCTCGGGGAGCTCCCTGCCCCTCTTCCCGGTCCCCCTTCTCTCTGAGCCTGTGCCCCACCTCTGCCATCGCCATGGAGGTGGGCCCGGGAGAGGGACCCGCTGTGTCCGAGACAGAGGCAGCTCCCGGCGGCTGAGTTCCCGGGGGCCGGGCACTCGCTGTCCTGGGCTGAGGCTCGGTGGGCAGGGACAGCCCCTGGAGCCCAGCAGGGCAGGCGGAGCTGCCGAAGGGGGTGCCCCTCGGGCCTGCACGCTCCACCCCAGGCCAGTGCGGACGGCCCGCACGGTCTCCTGCCCTCATCCCCCGCCTGCGGCTCATCAGATGGGAGTGAGCCGGGCACCCGGCCCTCTGGGGGTGGTCTTTCCCCCCCAAAAGGGGCCTCTCCTCAGACTCAGCTCCAAGCCCAGCCTCTGGCCTTCGCCTCCCCACACACGGACGGGACCCCAAAGCCGCGGTGCCCGTGCCCAGAGCTGCGGCTTCCCGCCAGGTCTCCCGCCTGGCCCTGTCCGGCCTCCGCAACTGGACGGCCGCCGCCTCGCCGCGGGCACAGTTCGCCGCCCGCCACTTCCGGGCCTTCCTGCCGCCGCGCGGCCAGGCGCTGGGCGAGCCCTGGTGGCTCATCCCCAGCGAGCTGAGCGTCCTCACCGGCTACCTGTCCAACAACCGCTTCTACCCGCCGCCGCCCAAGGGCAAGGAGGTGAGGGGGCCCTGGAGCCCTGGGCCCTGCCCCGCCAGTCTGCACCCGGACCTGTGCCAGCCCCCCCACCCCCCGCTGCCCACCTCCCCCTGACCCTGTGCCAGGCCCCCCCCGCTGCCCACCTTCCCCTGACCCTGTGCCAGGCCCCCCCACCCCCTGCTGTCTACCTCCCCCTGACCCTGTGCCAGCCCCCCCTGCTGCCCACCTCCCCCTGACCCTGTGCCAGGCCCCCCCACCCCCCGCTGCCCACCTCCCCCTGACCCTGTGCCAGGCCCCCCCACCCCCCGCTGCCCACCTCCCCCTGACCCTGTGCCAGGCCCCCCCACCCCCCACTTTCCACCTCCCCCTGACCCTGTGCCAGGCCCCCCACCCCCCGCTGCCCACCTCCCCCTGACCCTGTGCCAGGCCCCCCCACCCCCCGCTGCCCACCTCCCCCTGACCCTGTGCCAGGCCCCCCCACCCCCCGCTGCCCACCTCCCTGACCCTGTGCCAGGCCCCCTCACCCCCCGCTGCCCACCTCCCCCTGACCCTGTGCCAGCCCCCCCACCTCCTGCTGTCTACCTCCTCCCTGACCCTGTGCCAGGCCCACCCCCCACTGTCCACCTCCCCCTGACCCTGTGCCAGGCCCCCCTGCTGCCCACCTCCCCCTGACCCTGTGCCAGGCCCCCCCACCCCCCGCTGCCCACCTCCCCCTGACCCTGTGCCAGGCCCCCCCCGCTGCCCACCTCCCCCTGACCCTGTGCCAGGCCCCCCTGCTGCCCACCTCCCCCTGACCCTGTGCCAGGCCCCCCCACCCCCCGCTGCCCACCTCCCCCTGACCCTGTGCCAGGCCCCCTCACCCCCTGCTGTCTACCTCCCCCTGACCCTGTGCCAGGCCCCCTCACCCCCCGCTGCCCACCTCCCCCTGACCCTGTGCCAGGCCCACCCCCCGCTGCCCACCTCCCCCTGACCCTGTGCCAGGCCCCCCCACCCCCCGCTGCCCACCTCCCCCTGACCCCCCGGCCCTCCCCGCTGTCCACCTCCCCCTGACCCTGTGCCAGGCCCCTCCCCGCTGCCCACCTCCCCCTGACCCTGTGCCAGGCCCGCCCCCCGCTGCCCACCTCCCCCTGACCCTGTGCCAGGCCCCCCCACCCCCCGCTGCCCACCTCCCCCTGACCCCCCGGCCCTCCCCGCTGCCCACCTCCCCCTGACCCTGTGCCAGGCCCCTCCCCGCTGCCCACCTCCCCCTGACCCCCGCCCGCAGCCGCAGCCACGGGCCCGCTCGCCGCCCTAGGTCATCATCCACCGGCTCCTGAGCATGTTCCACCCGCGGCCCTTCGTGAAGACCCGCTTCGCCCCGCAGGGGGCCGTGGCCTGCCTCGCGGCCGTCAGCGACTTCTACCTCACCGTGGTGTTCCGGTGCGTGGCCCGCCGCCTGCCGCCCCCGGGACCCAGCAGGGAGCCGGCCTGGCTCAGCCCCTCCGCCTGGCCCCTGGGGTCCTGGGCACCCGGAGCCCAGCTTCCAGGGGTGGGTCAGGGCCAGGGCGGTGACTGCCTCCGAGGAGGGGGCTTAGCCCGGCCGGCCGCTGTGATGCCCGCAGAAGGGGGATGGAGCCGTGACGCCCACACACACAGCTGTGAGCTCGGGAGGGGCAGGCGCGGCTGCCGAGGCGGCCTGTGCACCGGGCCCGGGGCCGGGCGGTGCCTGGGGGCCGGCGCCGTCTCCCTGCCCGCACCCTCCGGGCCCTGCCCAGCGTTGCCCCCGCACAGAGCCTGGCTCCCGGGCTTTGGGGCTGCGGGAGGCCTGCTCCCAGCCGGCTCCTTCCCCCCAGGATCCACGCCGAGTTCCAGCTCAGTGAGCCGCCCGACTTCCCCTTCTGGTTCTCGCCCGGCCAGTTCACCGGCCACATCGTCCTCTCCAAAGATGCCACCCACGTCCGCGACTTCCGGCTCTTCGTGCCCAACCACAGGTGGGAACTGCCTCCGGCAACGGTGCCGAGGCCCCTCAGCCCCTGCCCCTTTGCTCCCAGAGCCTCCTCTCCAGGGAGGGGCCCGGAGCTGACCGGGAAGAGGCGGCTGGAGAGGGGCATGTCATCACTTGACATGCGTGTCCCAGGTCTGCTTGGCCTGGCCACCAGCTCTGTGCCCGGGCCCAGTGCAGCGGCAGCCGCCCCGCCCTCTTAATGCTGGCCCTGAGCCATGGCCTGTCACACCACCCCGGGGCGGCCGGCAGCTGGGCAGGGGCTCGGCTGGTTGGGGCCCAGAAGGGTCCTCAGAGGAAGGGGCATCTAAGCAGAGGCCTGGGGGTGAGAGGGTTTAGCCTGGCAGAGGGAACAGCACAGGCTCACTGCCCGTAGTTGCCATCGCTGGGTCTCAGGGGGCTCCTGGGATGGGTCAGCCTCTTGGTGGGAGAGGGAAGGGGGACAGGAGACCTGGAGACCGGGTTTCAGGTCTTTCCTGATTCCCAAGTGGCTGCTCAGTGACTGTGCAGGGACACGGTGTAGGCTGGGAGCAGGGAGACCCAGAGTTAACTTTCAGCTGTGACGCCAGCGTGTCTGTGGGCAGGGCCCTGGCCTCTCTGGGCCCCAGTTCCCTCATTTTCTGGCAGGAGGCTGGCAGGGGTGGGGGATGGAGAAAGTTACCCCAAGAAGTGGCCACCTCTCGCTCCTTTTACTCCTCCCACCGCTCAGCAGGCAAGCACCTGCATTGCCCAGGCTCAGCCCAGGCCACACCGGCCTCCACCCCAGGGTGGAAGTGGGGGTCCTGGGCTGGATGAAACAGAAGGAGGGGGGCAAATGGCCAGGCCCGAGGCACCCAGGGCGCCCAGCTCACTGTGCCCAAAGTGGTTGGTTGCCAGTCCTCGGGCGCCCCCATGTGGCAGACCTGCAGGTGGCACCTGGTCTGGCCAGACCGGCCGGAGGCCTGTGCGGGGTTTTCACTCCCCCGTGTCTGGGGGATGCTCCGTGACCCCTGCCCGGGGGGGTGGAGGGCGATACAGGAGGGATGGGTGGGAAAGCCCTTGTGGACGGTGGGGGCCGGGCCGCTGGAGGGGGGGCTCTGCAGTCCCAGTCCCAGCAGCTCTGAGCCCCGGGTGCAGCCTGCCGAGCCTCAGGGTCCTCCTCTGTAAGACGGGGCAGCTGTGTGCTTTCAGCAGCCATGTCCGGCCGGTGGTCCGTGGGCCTTGCTGACGGTGCTCTGTCCCGGCCACCGTCCTGCCGGCCCCAGGTCTCTGAACGTGGACATGGAGTGGCTGTACGGGGCCAGTGAGAACAGCAACATGGAGGTGGACATCGGCTACATTCCCCAGGTGAGTGCACCCCTGGCCCTGCCTGGCGAGGGAGGCCAGCTCCTTCCTCCGCGAGGCTCTGGCTGAGGGGCCCAGCGGGCAGGAGCCTCAGGGCAGTGCAGGGTGGGGGCGAGCTCCTGGCACCTGGTTCTGCCCACGGAACCCAACACCCCACTGGCCTCCGACAGCTCCCTGCAGCGACGGAGCCCCGGCGGGACCCTGGCCTGGCGCTCTGCGCAGCCCTGGCCAGGCCCCCTCCCTGGCCCCCGTTCCCCACCTCTGCAATGGATGGGGTGTCCCTGAGGGCCTCTCGGGCCCCTGGAGGATCCTTGCCCATCTCTGAGACGTCCCTCCCTGAGGCCGGCCCTCCCTGACCTCTGCCTGACCTAGATGGAGCTGGAGGCCACGGGCCCCTCAATACCCTCTGTGATCATGGATGAGGACGGCAACGTGATTGACAGCCGCCTGCCCTCAGGGGAGCCCCTGCAGTTTGTCTTTGAGGAGATCAGGTGGCAGCAGGAGCTGAGCTGGGAGGAAGCTGCCCAGCGCCTGGAGGTGGCCATGTACCCCTTCAAGAAGGTGAGCTGGGCGTGCTGAGGGCAGGGGCAGGACCTGTGGGGCAGGGCAGGGCAGGGGCAGGGTCTGTGGGGCAGGGCAGGGCAGGGGCTGGAGCTGTGGGAGCAGCAGGGGGCGCAGGCCGCTGGGCTAGGGTAGGGCTTGCTATTGGGCTTTCTCCCTGCAGGACCAGGGTGCCTAGGGAGCCTCCCTTCTCCATTAGAACTTGGAGAAGGTGTCCTCCACCTCGACAGCACTCCTCTCTCTCTCTCTCTCTCTCTCTCTCTCTCTCTCTCTCTCTCTCTTGGAGAAGGTGTCCTCCACCTCGACAGCACTCCTCTCTCTCTCTCTCTCTCTCTCTCTCTCTCTCTCACACACACACACACACACACACACACACACACACACACACACACACATTACACACGCGGCACCTGAGTGGGACCCTGGCTGCCCACAGTAGCTTCTCTCTCGGCTCGGCCCCAGGTCACCTACCTGCCGTTCACCGAGGCCTTCGACCGCGCCAAGGCCCAGAACAAGCTGGTGCACTCGATCCTGCTGTGGGGGGCGCTGGACGACCAGTCCTGCTGAGGTGAGAGGGGCCGGCCATCCCCAGGGAGGATGGGGGACACTTCACTTTGTGGGGCACAGGGGGCTCTAACACCTGGGCCTCCCCTGTGGAGCATGAGGGGGCTGCACGGGGCGGGGGCGGGATGGGGGCTCAGGAGGTTTCTGTGCTGAGCTCAGAGGAAGCTGCTGGAGACAAGCTGAGCCCAATCAGCCACTTTCAGCTTAGAAACCTCGGCCAAGTGACTCCTCCCTGAGCCCCCGTTTTCTCGGGAGTAAAGGAGGGGACCTGCTTCCCTCCGGAGGGAGGAGAATGGCTGTGGCAGTGCCTGAGCCGCACGGTGAGGCACTCGGTGAGATAACAGACTGGGCGGCATTCGCTGGGGACCTGCTGGGCGCCCGTTCTCTGGGTGTCACCCCGGGGGTACGAAGATGAGTAAAAGGAGGAGCCTGTCCTCGCTCCGTCATCGGCAAACACCCTGGGCCTCCTGGCGCGCCCTGGGCTGGGTGCTGGGGTTGCAGCGGTACCGGCAGGTCCCGGGCAGGCGGGTGTGGCTGGTGCCAGGGGAGGCTCTCAGAGAGTGACATTCAAGATGAGACTGAAGGACGAGTAGGATTCTGCAAGGTGACAGGAGGAAGAGTATTTTCGGTGGAAGTCTGTGCAAAGGCCTGGGGCTCCGTTTTGAGGATTGGGGGCTGCAGGTGCCTGGGTAGGGCTCACCCTAAGTCCCCGGCCAGATGCCAGGCTGTTCTCGATGGGGATCCGCTGCCATTCATTCAGCTCCTGCAGACTCTGCTCTGTCACCCGGGTGTGTAGTCCAGGAGGTTATTTGCTGGCGGAAACCCAGCGAGACGTGGGGCGGCCTCAGTCTCCCGGCCTCGCCCCTCCCTGCACAGGTTCGGGGCGGACTCTCCGGGAGACGGTCCTGGAAAGTTCGCCCATCCTCGCCCTCCTCAACGAGAGCTTTGTCAGCACCTGGGCCCTGGTGAAGGAGCTGGAGGACCTGCAGGTGAGTGGTGGGGCGTGGGAACAGCCTCTTGGGAGCCAATGCCGGGGGCCCGGCCTCAAGAGCGCGCCCCGCTGTCCCCACAGAACAACCAGGAGAACCCGTCCCACAAGCAGCTGGCGGACCTGCACCTGGAGAAGTACAGCTTCCCCGTGGAGATGATGATCTGTCTGCCCAACGGCACCGTGGTAGGTCCCCCCCTACACCAGCCCGGCTGGCACCGTGGGCAGAGGAAGCAGCCGGCCAGGGCACAGGCTCCCAGAGCTCAACCGGCTTCGGGCCTGGCTCCCCCAGTACCCCCTAGCTGGGCTCAGTGATCACATCTATAAAATGGGAATCCTGATGCCCAGTCCGCCTGCCTCGTGCAGGGTCAGGACGCTCCTATGGGAAGGGGCCGGGGAGCAGCAGGCACAGCATAGCAGCAGCGTGGAAAGGCCGTGGCCGGGAGGGAAGGCTCCCCCGGACCACTGCCCTCAGCCCTGGGATAGAAGGAGGAGGGACAGGCAGGCCTTGTGACAGGTAGAGGGGACCAGGGACCCCACCCCACCCCAGGTCCAGCCAAACGTCTAGACCCTGTCTCTCCGAGGGCCCCTTCCACACAGCCAAGCCATCCTGTAGTTGGATTCTCGCAGTGGCTGAGAGCTAGGTGGTTACAAACACCCGCGTGACAAACGGGGAGTCCGAGGCTCAGAGGCCAGAGGTTGGGAGACAGCTGCACAAGTAAGAGATGTGCTGGGCCCTGGCCGGGTGGCTGCATTGATTGGAGTATCGTCCCAGACACCCAAAGGCTGCAGGTTCAATTCCAGGTCAGGGCACATACCTGGGTTTTGGATTCAGTCCCTGCTCAGAGTGCATATGGGCATGTACAGGAAGCAACTGATCCATGTGTCTCTCTCACATTGATGTTTCTCTCTCCCTTCCTCCCTCTAAAAAAAGGAAAAGGGGGGTAAAAAACACACACACACACACACACACACATCCTTGGGTGAGAATTTAAAAAAAAAAGGGTGGGGAAGCAGTGCAGCTGGCTTTGAACAGGTCTGCCTGGGCCTCAGCACCTCCTGCTCTTCCTGACAGAGGGGAGCGGAGTGCAGGGGTCATGGGAGCAGAGAAGGGGTGGGGGCGAGGGAAAGGTGAACGAAGGGCACTAGGTTTTCTGCTAGTGGATGAGGAGGGTGAGCTCTGAGGTCGGGGGCCTGTGTGAGCAGAGGCAGGACGGAGCCGGGTTCCATCCAGGGTTCTGCCTGCTGCCGCCCGCCTCGGTGAGGGCAGCCGAGGCCTGAGAGGGGGGCTCTGAGCCCGGGGGCTCGGCACCTCACCCAGCCTTTCTCCAAGGTCCACCACATCAACGCCAACTACTTCTTGGACATCACCTCCATGAAGCCCGAGGACGTGGAGAGCAGCGCCTTCAGCTTCGAGTCCACCTTCGAGGACCCGTCCACGGCCACCTACATGCAGTTCCTGAAGGAGGGCCTGCGGCGCGGCCTGCCCCTCCTGCAGCCCTAGCGGCCGCCCCACCTGGGGAGGGGGCAGGAGCTGGGCAAAGGCCTCCAGCAGCGAGGCTCCTGCTCATTCCCACCCCACCACTCCCAGGACGCCTGTGAGGCAGGGCGTGGCGTGGCGTGGGGTGCCAGAGAAGTGCCCCTGTTTTTGTCCGGAGCCTTCTTCCTGGCACAGCCCTCGCTGCCCTCTGTGCCCGGCCGCCAGTGGGTCAGGCTCGAAGAGACCGCCATCTGGACGCTCTGAGAGAACCCTCCTTCAGGAGCAGAAACCACACAGCACCCTGGACCTTGGCTCCCCGGACCAGTTTAGTCTATTCGACTTAATGAGAGGACCCCAAGCCTGTCTGGGACTTCCTGGAGACCAGCTGCCTGGGAAGATCCACTGCCCTTAGGAAGGGGGTCCCCGAGGCCCAGACCCACGGCACCACCCCCGCCCAGCCCGCCCACCTCAGCACAGGGTGAGGAGCCCTGCCGGGACCAGAGCCCGGAGTGGCCCTGAGACCTCAGTGCCACGGGAGTGCAGCCCAGCCAAGGAGCAGCCGCCCGACCAGCCTGTGCGCCCTGCAGGGAGCTGACGCCCCTTGGCCACGCCTGGGGCCTCAGCTCACATCCCAAGCCACTGACCACGCCAGTCTCTTTTTTTATACACGCAGGAGAGTGTTTCTACGTGAACTTTCTCACCGTTTGTAGGTATTTTTACAGCCCGTGCTAAGGAGAAGGAAGGGGCAAAGGCTTCCTCCAGCAGCTGCCCATGATGGCTGCGTCTGAAATCCCAGATGGACCCAGCTTGATGTCTCTGCAGCGGCACCCTGGGAAGCAGCAGTCCCCTCTCCCTTCTCTTCTAGTTTTTTAAACAAACAGCCCTCAGAGGGCCAGTGCGCCCTCCTTCTCCCTCAGCCCATGAGGCCCCTGGCCTTTCTCTAAGGCCTGGCAGCCCAGCCTGCTCCCACCCTTAACCCTGGAGGAGGAAGGCAGTGGACGCTTCCCCAGACACAGCCCCAGGCCTTCCCAGCTGAGGCACTCGGTTAAGATTCCGTGTCTTTTCTCATTTCACCCTCACAACAAGCCTGGCGGGTGGATGTCAATTGTTCCCATTTTGCAGATGAAGAAACAGAGTCTCGGGAAAACAAGCTGGCTTGCCCAGCGTCCCTCAGTGTAGAGTTGAGATGCGGCCTGAGTCTTGATGGCGGGCGTTTTGCACCCTTACCACGCCCCCGCCTGGTTTCACTGAGGTGAAAAGGAAAGCCTTTCAAACCACCGTCTCTCGTCTCGTTCCCTCCCGATCTCTAACCAAACGAGGCGTGAGCTAGCGAGCTCAGCCAGGTTCCTGTCCTCTGGGAGGCATGATTCCACGCCCTTCACAGGGAGGGATGGGCCGAGACCTTTCCGGGTGCTTCCAAGCACAGGTGGCAGTGAGGAGCTGTCTGTTCTGGCTTTCAGCATCCTCATCAGGTGCTTCTGCCTGACCTCCATGTGCCGCCAAGCTAGTGGCGGGGAGGGCCCCCGGCTGCCCTCTTGTCACCCCTCTGCCACTTCCCTCCCTGTCCCCAACACGTCCTGTCCTGTAATAAACCTGAAGATAGGAGGGCGGTGTGAATGCCTGTCCTTTGAGTGGGATGTTCACACTTCGGTTTTGTCCTTGATGTGACAGAGGTTTGGCTCACCAGGTGGGTCCGGGAACATTGCTGGAATGCCTTTGGGGTCTATCACCAGAGGGCCGGAGTGACTTTCTGAAAATAACTTTGTGATGCCCTCCTGGTGGAACTCACTATATTTAGAATCTGATGCTGTGTTTATAAAGTTAAACCCATTGTCTTATAAGCACAGCTCAAGACAGGCATTAGGTAATTTTTTTTTATTTTTTGAGGGAGTGCACTTGAAAAAACAAAACTATAAAAAGAGTGAAACAGAAAGGGGGAAGGGGAAACGCTGGGAAGGGATAGAATCAAAGCCTGGCCTTGGCCTGCTCACAGGGAAAGGCTCTGGAGCATAAACCACATCAGAGTTGGGGCCTCCGATCTCCCTCCTGCAAGAGCGGTTTTCCAGAAAAGGGGGCAGCTGTGAGTAGCTGACACAGCAGCTGGGGAATGGCTTCCCTGGCAGAGTAAAGGGGGCCTGGGTGGGGCACCAAGACAGCATATACCACGTCCAGGAGAGACAGCTACGGTGGATTTGCAAGATCTGCCATTGCCCTGGAGAGTGAAATGAGTGACTAAGCAACAGCTCGCCATCCTGGAAAAAGGGCTGGACCTAGAAGTCAACATCATTTGAAATATGGTAGGGCTCAAGGACAACCTCTGAGGTCTCAGGGCAAGACCGCCTCACATAATTTGCAGGATCCAGTGCAAAATGAAAATGCTTGTTTTTTAAAAACAAATTTCAAGAGGGCAACAGCAGAACATTAAAGCAAGTAGGACTCCTTACCCAAGGCCATGTGTGACTGGCTGTGCCTGGCAGCTGGAACTTGAAGGATTTGAGAAAAAAAAAAAAAAAAAAAAAAACAAAACCTGCAACCTGAGTGTCAGGCACAGCCACGTGTTGATGTCCGAGGAGGGCATGTGACCCAGGCCTGGATGCCATGGAGATCAGAGTGAGTGGGCTTGGAAGGAATGTGGTGGTTCTCTTTCCCAGTGCCTCTGGGATCTACCCTACCCATCTGGTCAACAAAGTCACTGAAAATAAGAGAGAGAGAGATTTTGTGTGTGTGTGTGTGTGTGTGTGTGTGTGTGTGTGTGTGTGAAATACATAAAGGCTAAAATAGGCGGAAGCTACAAAGCGCTGGAGGGCAGGAGTCGGAGAAGCCCGTTCTTGCTGGAGAGAAGGCTGGGAAGTATGAACTGCGAAGGGGACCAGGGCGATCGATGTGCGAGGCAAACTGCAGCCGCAGGGCCTGGGACGCAGGGTTCCCCGCTTGCTGACGGAGGGGACAGTAGTCACCACCATACTTGGGGCCCAGCAGCGACAGACCTCGGATTCCAAAGGTCGGACCGTCACTGAGAGCCAACAGGATGGAGACCTGAAGGGTTTGCGACCAATCAGGCCTCTGACATCTCGGAGCTCCGACAGGGGCGTGGCCTCTAGGGGCGTGGCCTCTCCTAGGGCCTCCGCCCCGCCCACTAGGCGCAGCACTAGCCCCGCCTCCTGCGGCCGCTTTGGAGCGGGGAGCGGCTCTGTGCGCATGTGCGGAGACCGCTTCCGGAGGCGGGCAGCGGAAGTGAGGGCCGTGGAGGCCGGGCAGCGGGCCGTAGTAGGAGGGGCTGTGAGGTGAGGGAGTCCGGGAGCCGGAGTCTCAGGTGAGAGACCGGGTACGAGTGCCGCCCGGGGGGAGGGAGCGCGGCCTAGTGCGGGCGCCGGGCGGGCTTCGCAGCTGCCGTTCCCGCGCCAGTTCTCGCGGGAGCCGGTATTGTCGGCCTCGAGTGGCAAAGGGGGGAAACTGAGTCCCCCAGGGGTAACGGCCCGGCCGCGTCACCGGCTTCGGTGGGCGAGCTACCCCGGAGGCTTCTCCTCTCGGCCGCGGGCCATGCGGGCGGGGCCGCCGCTGCCTCCTCGCCCTCGGGGCCTGGCCCCTGCGGATGGGTCCGGGGCCGCCGGGCCGGCCGCGAGGACTTGGCCGACCTTGGCCCCGGCGGGTCGGGCTGCTGCGGGGGAGGGGAGGCGTGGCCGGGCAAGGTCCCCGCGGCCCCCGGCGCCGCTGTCCGCGCGGCAGAGTTCCGCTCAGCGCCGCGGGCCCGCGGGGCGCCCGGGACCAGGAGTGATGAGCCCGGGCCCTGCCCCGCCCGGCCCCCGCGGGAGACCGTGTGTGGACGGCCGCGGCCTCCAGAGGGGCTGTGGGGCTCCGAGGCGGTAAGAACCAGCCCGGGGCCAGGGGACGGGGCCAGAGATGGTGGGGAGGGTGTGAGGCTGCCGGTGCTCTCGTTCATTCATTTCTTAACGGACATTTGTGTACGTGGCCCGGGCTCTGCTGTGCCCAGGGACGTCCCTGCCCGTGGGACCAGCGGCACAGTAAGTTAGTTACGGAGGAGACACGGGGTGCCGGGGGTGGACAGTAAAGGGGAAGTGATGCTGGCGCCGAGCTCGGAAGAACCGTGAAGAACGAGCTTTGGGGAGGGAAGAGTGTGGACACGGCCTCAGAGGTGGTGTCAGGGCTGGAAGGAGGCCAGGGTGGCTGGAGGGCGAGCAGAGGCGGGGTGTGTGGCGGGGTCTGTGCCAGGCCAGATTGTAGGCTGCGGCGAGTTCCGTTACTGAGGTTGGGAGGGCCTCCAGGAATCTAAATCTGTAGGGATTTTAAGTACAGGAACAATATGACTAGCAATGCGTTCCAGAAACATCTCTGGCTGCTGTGTGAGACTCAGGCCCACATGAGTCTGTGGAGGTCACGTTCGGAGAGGAACAGGAAAGCATGCCGTGTGGCACTGTCAGGCATGTTCCGCGCAGCCTGGCACACCGGGGACTTTGACAAAAGGCTTGAGCCGCGTCTGGAAGTTGAGCGCATGCAGGGCAGCAGGGTTGGGACCAGACTTGAGGTGCTTTCTGCTGGCAGAGTGACCTTAGAAAAGTTCCTTCGTTGGGGAAAGTGGAGGGTCCCCCCCCCTCCGCCCCCTTAGGATGGCTCCCTGTCGCCCTAATTAAAGTGTTTGGGAGATTTGGGGGTTCTCACCAGGGGCCCTCTTTCAGCCTCACAGTGTGAAGGGGAGGCAGGTCTCTGGCTTCCTTTCCCCGTGTGAATGATAATTCCTTCTTTCCAGCTTTCTTTCTCCATAAAATGAGTGATAACTCCTCTTTCGGGATGAAAGAGAGACTCGATGAGGGAGGTTTCCAGAAAGAACTGTGTTGGTAGTCCAGTCCATCCGGTTCAGAGCCTTCCCCAGGCCCCCCAGTCACTTCTCACCTGGGCGTTCCAGCCCTCCTGACTTGACCCCGTTAGTCTTTACCCCTGATCATACTGTGCTCCTCTCAGATCTCACCCTCCTGCCCTGGACCTGTGCTACTGCAGCTGTTTTCTCACCTTCCTTCCCCCTCCAAGCTCACCATGGGGGCCTTGAGGTCAGGACTGAATTCACCTGGCACCTGTCTCGTGTGCCGTTCTCACAGTGATTGGTATTCAGCCGTGGCCAGAATTATGTATTCAGGTGCTGTCTCTTCTAGATTGTGCGTTCCTTGGGAGAGTGGCTGTCTTACTCCTCTGTAGCCCCTATAGTGTCCAACACAAGGTGGCCATTGTTAGTGTTTGAAGAACAAGGGAATGAGAGCTCAGTGAATGAGAGCATCTGCTCACCACACAAGGGCAGCTGTGAAGAATCCAGGCAGGGGTGACCCTGCCCATCTGTCACATTTTAACAGTTCATTAAGCCCTTTAAATTCCCTAGTTCACTGACGGATCCTTAAGGTAGCCTGGCGTGGCACCTGTTCTTGTCCTCTTTTTACCGCTGGAGAAACCAACATTTGGAAAGGTTAAGACATTCAAAAGGTTAAATGGCTTGCCCGTGGCTGCAAAGCTTTAGGTGGCTGAGCCAGGATAAAGAATTTGGTTCTTTTCCCTGTAGCCTAGTATAGTGGTCGGCAAACTCATTGGTCAACAGAGCCAAATATCAACAGTACAATGATTGAAATTTCTTTTGAGAGCCAAATTTTTTAAATTAAACTTCTTCTGACGCCACTTCTTCAAAATAGACTCACCCAGGCCATGGTATTTTGTGGAAGAGCCACACTCAAGGGGCCAAAGAGCTGCATGTGGCTTGTGAGCTGTAGTTTGCCAACCACGGGGCTAGAGCATGCTGTTCATTCTCTTGTCTATGTTACCTCTCCCTGCGCGGGCCCCAGTGCTAGGTAGGTGACCCATGCTGGGCTTTGCATCTCATCTACAACACGGAGTGTGGGGCTGCGTGGTAACTACACTTTGCCTTTCCCATGAGCCTTTTAGCTACCAAAGGGTTGGTTCTATTTCATCTTTAGAAGTTTTGCCTCAGGAAACCAAGGGCCCAGGGGGCTTCCATGGTTGTCCAAGCTCCTGTGACAAGTCTGAAACAGAACCTTTTAAGGGTCTGGATTTGGAAGAGCCATGAGTGGGTGAGGGCAGTCTCTCGAGCAGGTTTTCTCCTGTGAAATGAAAGAGAAACCTTGGTGTTGGTCATTGCTCTGCAGGTTTTGTGGGGCTTATGTGGTGCCAAGTCCCCACTGAGGGTTGTTTCGCAGGAAGGGAACTCTGGTGTCTGTAAGATGGCCTGATATGAAGGAATCACGCCTCCCCAAGCTGCCTTGTCCTTCAAGTGCAGGAGCCGGTTGAGATGTCGGGAATGGAAGCCAATGCGGTAAGGGGCATTCCAGGGCTGTGGTGTGGTGGGGGAGGCGAGCACAGGGCCTGTTGTGGAGACTCCCCAGACGATTCCTTTCCCCTGGAGGCCTGGAACTGGAAGGAGGCCACCCTCCCACCCACTCCCCCAGGCAGGACCAACTGGTACCGGGGGCAGTTTCTCCTGCCTTTCTGTGCGGAGAGAAAGGAGGGAAGCTGGAGGATTCCTAACCCAGCTGATTCGTGAGGCCTTACTGGACCCTCCCAACGTGGACATGCCTTGGTAGCAGCAGGTATCCTTAGGTGGCTGGCCAAGGTGAAGGCTAACAATTGGGAAAACTGCCCTCACTTAGAGTTGAGACTTAACTTCTGCCCACAGGTGCCCCTTCCTGGGAGTGAGGAGTCCAGGCTCCCTGATAAAGGGCAGGGGGGGAGAGGACGGGGACAATGCTTGAACTCATCTCTGAGGTTGTGCCTGTTCCTCTGCTCTAGACAATCCCAATCTGGCAAAATAAACCGCACGGGGCCGCTCGCAGTGTGGTGAGAAGAATCGGGACCAATCTGCCTCTGAAGCCGTGTCCCCGGGCGTCCTTTGAGGTGAGTGCGCTGGAAGGGCCAGGAGACTGGAGGCTCAGAGTATGGACTGATGGTGCTGCTCTGTGCCCGTCTCTGGGACTTTTTGGTCGGTTTGTTTTTCCTTTTGTAAATGCTTTCTCATGGATCCTGTGCCTTCCTGATTGCACTCAAACCTTTGACCACAACAGTCAGGTTCCCAATCTGCTCATAAATTCATAATCTTTTATGTTTGATCCCTCTGCTAAGAGGCTCAGATTTCATCAGACTCTAGCAGTTGTTTCTCAGAACGGGCCAAAGGCCCTGGCTGAACCACATCACCACACTAGCCAGGTCTGTGTTCTGAGGTGTTGCCTACAACTCTGGCAGATCCCCACGTGGGACACTGAGTACTGTGTTGTGACTGCATTGAACTCTGCTTTTCTTTACTAGCCCTAAGATTTGGCCACTTCGCCATCTATTTCTAGTTTCACTGAGGCCCAGCCTCCTCTTTCTGGGCAAATCTGGCCTCTCCTTTACTAGGCTACTTCAGCCTTACCTCTGGGTCTATGGGGCCGTTAGCACCCAAATTGCAGTAGAGATTCTTGCCTGGCAGTGTCACTGAGAACCCCCTTCTGCAATGGAAAACCAAGTAGTGCTTATTAGTCCCAGCTGCCTCCCTCTAAGAACTAATGGTTAAGCACCATCTTCAGGCTACTTACTTAAGGTGTGTGTATCTGGGGAGCTGGGACACAAAAGAATAACTTCAACTCTCTGCCTACACAGAAGAGGCACAAATATATGCCTGAAAAGTCATGGGCCCAGTGGTTACAGAAATGAAGGAGATGAATTTGTGTATTAGATGTTGACCTGCGTAGTTTGTGTAGGAGCTGGATCTGGAGAAGTAGTGTCTGGGTTGGTATTAGAGTCAGGAATGGGGTTAGGAGTGTGTGTGTTACGGGATAGAGGGGGACCATCCCATGACCCAGACTATCCAGAACTGCCTACAGGGCACCATCGGGATGTGGCCCTAACGCCTCAAGAGTCAGAAACAAGGGAAGCGCAGCTCGGGAGTATGGGGAGTTGGTGGAGGATGCCCAAACACTTGTTATCTCTCCAGTCTTTTGGCCAAATGGTGCTGGGCAGAGCTAATCAAGGGCACAGGTTCCCACAGGGTAGGGGGAGTATGTGTAAATAGTACAAGCATACCTCGAGGTATTTTTAGGTTTGCTTCCAGATCACAATAAAGCAAGTCATAATTTTTTACTCAGGGTCTTGCCCTCAATTGTAAAAACGAAGTATCTGTGAGGCTCAATAAAGCCGGGTGTGCTTGTATCAGTAATACCAGCTAACTTTTACTAAACACGCACTGTATGCTAAGGCATTGTGCTGACTACTTTATCTATGTTCTCATTTCATTGCTAGTAGTAGAGCGCCGCTCTAATCAAGGAAAGCTTCCTAAATGGCCCACCTTGGCTGCAGCTCCTGGGCCAGTGGAAGATCACTTCACTCATGTGAGACCCAGCCTCCCTCTCTAAAAGTGAGGGCCATCAACTCCCGGTCCACCTACAAACAATTGGTAGCAGAACAGCTGAATTTAATTCATGTAGAGGTGGCTTTTTGAGAAATTATCCCTGAATTTCTGTGGTAAATTACTCCAAAATATTACTTAAGGAAATCTTTATTTTTTTTAATTTACCGACATAAAAACATTAAGTTCTGGAAAATTAAGAGAAAAGAACCCAGATGGGCTGGCTCAGTTGGTTGGAGTATCAGCTAGTATACCAAAAAGATTGCAGGTTCAGTCCCATGTTGGGGCACATATGGAAAACAACAGATCAATCTCTCTCTCAAATCAATAAACACATCCTAGGATGAGGATTAAGAAGAAAAAGGATAAAGGAAAAGATATGACCTATAATAACATAATCATGACAGCAATTATTGTTTGGTATAGTTCTTTTTCTAGATGTATGTTTTTTGTATTCACATTCAACATGATTGAATACTCCTAGTTTTTTTTTTTCGTTTAATTTTAACAGTGTCACTCACTCTATCCCCTGGTGGTTGTTCATTTGGGTTGAGGGGTAATTTTAAGGAATCCTACTATATTCCTTTTATATAATTGTATCTTTTTGTTCAAGTCTAAATATTCAAATTACCAAATTTGCTTAAAACAATGTTGCGCCCTAGCCTGTTTGGCTCAGTGGATAGTGTGTCAGCCTGAGGACTAAAAGGCCCCAGGTTCTATTCTGGTCAAAGGCACATGCCCGGATTGAGAGCTTGGTCCCCAGTAGGGGGCGTGCAGGAGACAGCCAGTCAGTTATTCCCTCTCATCATTGATGTTGCTATCTCTCCCTTCCTCTCTAAAATCAATAAATATATATATATTTAAAAATCTTAAAAAATAAACAATGTTGCTATAACAGTGTAAATCCCAATTAGCTACAAAAGTGTGGTCAAGAGCTAGCCAGAGGAAATTTCCTGTTGATGTGACAGATTATTGATATCCTTGCAGCTACATTTTCACAACCAGAAGGCAAGACACTGGTAGACAATAGACATTTCTGTTAAAAGGTAACTGGCCTATTCCACTAAAGACCCCATTTTCTGTAAAAGACAAGGTTATAAAAATTTAGGCAGTGGGCTGTAAGTATTATAACTACTCACTTTTGCAGTTACAACTTAAAAGCCATCACATATAAGTCAGTAAGCCCTGACTGGTGTGCTCAGTTGGTTGAGCGTCATCCCAAGCACAAAGAAGTCACTGGTTGGATCCCAGGTCAGGGCACACACCCAGGTTGTAGGCTCAGTTCCCAGTAGGAAGCTTGCAGGAGGCAGCCAATCAATGTTTCTCTCCCTTCCGTTCTAAAATAAAAAACATATTCTTAAACACACACATACACAAAGAAATTGGTGAGACTTGTTTTTCAAATAAAACTTTATTAAAACAGAGCCCATCCCTCCTCTAGGCCACCTGTTTTTGCTTGGATCACAACCTCATAACTGGTCTGTTCACCTTCCCATCCGTGTTCCAGACAGCAGCAGTGATCTTTTAAAGCCTAAAATCAAACCCTTACTTAAAACTTCGGGTGGCTTATTATAGATCTTAGAATCAAAGCTCCTCGTTTGCTGCCCAACCTCTTACAATCTCCTCACCCCATCCTGTTTTAGCAATGCAAAACTATTTGTAATCCCACAAACTTTTGCTTCTGGCCGCTTATTCAAGCCGTTTCCAACCTGGAACCCTCCTCTCCATCCTCTGAAAGAGAAAACAGTAGGCATGGATGGCAGGGGGGCGGAGGGGTGTGTGTCCCAAGAAGCCTTTCTGACACTTCAGTGCTGAATTAGGTGCCCTCCTATGTGTTTTGCCCAGATTGATTGTCTCATCATGTTTGTTGGTGAATTTTGCGTCCCTATAGACCCTGCCCAATGTCTCTGATCTGTGTCTGAGAGATGTGCCCCCAGTCCCTACTTTGGCTGACATCGCCTGGATTGCTGCAGATGAAGAGGAGACATACGCCCGGGTCAGGTAGCCAGGCAATAGTCAGACTGTTGGGGGATGGGGAGCTTCTGCCCGGTGAGGCAGGTAGCAGGGGGAGGGCTTGTGAGAGGCTGAGGGCAATAGGAATGAGATCTCTGGGTTCAGAATGGAAGCAGAACCTGGCTGTTAATCTTGTAGGGGTGGCTGAAGGAATTTTAGAAGGGGGAGTGGCCAGCTCACTCTGATACACCGTCTTTCCCTGATCCAGGAGCGATACACGCCCGCTGAGGCACACGTGGAAGCCCAGCCCTCTGATTGTCATGCAGCGCAATGCCTCAGTGCCCAATCTGCGTGGGTCCGAGGAGAGGCTCCTGGCCTTGAAGAAGCCAGCCCTGCCAGCCCTGAGCCGCACCACAGAGCTGCAGGATGAGCTGAGCCACCTGCGCAGCCAGATTGCTAAGATAGTGGCAGCTGATACAGGTAGGAGGCTCTGAGTCAGGGCCAGAATATAGCAGGCTGTTCCTTTTCCCCTGCCCTTTGGACAGGATAGTGGTAAAGAAAAGGATGGTCCCTGGTTCAGGGGGTCTTGGACCTAGGACTCGGGTTGCTCTGAGGCCTGGCTAGTCTTTGTCAGTTATTTTGAGCTTGACTAGTTTGGTCAGGAACAAGATCTTCACTTAGCCTGTGACCCCAAGCAGGTTCTCTTCCTTGGCCACAAAACCAATACCCTCTACCACGTGGCTCTGAGATCGTGTCTTCCAGGTGCCCTCAGCAGCTTTCCTTTTCCATTAAGAAATAAGCATCCCCTTTGAGCACCTGTCTTCTCTTCCCTTGTCCTGTCTACCAGAGACCACCTCTCCATCCTCCCGCTTTCTGTCTGCAGCAAGGCAGAACAATAGAAAAGGATGGGAGTCTGCCTTTACTAGTGGCATGAAATACCAATAAGTGTCTCTCCCTAGCAGCTCAGGGTTTATTTATCCCCATATTCCTTTTTTTTTCTTCTAGTTGTCAGTTCCTAAAGCTTACCAGGTGGTAGAACATAAAAATTAGTTTTTTTAAAAATCTTTTTTTTATAGAGGAATTGCATATATTGGCAGCTAAGAGAAAAGCTAAAGTAGTTTATGAAAAACTAGAGTGTTTCTTAAAAATTGAGGAAATTTGTTAAAACTTGGGAAACTAGGATGGTCACCATTCTATTGCTACAGAATGCTTCCAAGGCCACAGACAGCAGTTGAAGAGGGGAGTCAAAAGCACTAGCCCCCTTAGAGAAAGGAACAAACTCAGGCGTGGTCCTGTCGTTTCAGTCTAAGCAGGCTGCTACTGCAGAGCTCACTGCAGAATGGGAGCTTTTAGGAGACAGGGTCTTTATGGGGTGCGGGTGGGAGGTGCTGTGCTCTCCTGGAACATGGAAGAGCCCTGCTTCTACATCTTAAAATCCTGAGAGGGAGGCGTAGTGGAGGAACCTTCCTCCAGCTTACAGAAACCACCTGGCTCTTCTGGGATGTCATGGTGTCAGCCCAGGAAATACTTGATAGGCAGTGCTTGTGAGCAGAAGATATTACCGCTGTACCCTAGCCCCCATGTCCATCCATGCCTATTGTTTTCTCTTTCAGCTTCGGCTTCATTAACGCCAGATTTCTTATCTCCAGGAAGTTCAAATGTCTCTTCTCCCTTACCTTGTTTTGGATCCTCATTCCACTCTACAACTTCCTTTGTCATTAGTGACATCACTGAGGAGACTGAGGTAGAGGTCCCCGAGCTTCCATCAGTCCCCCTGCTTTGTTCTGCCAGCCCTGAATGTTGCAAACCGGAACACAAAGCTACCTGCAGCTCATCTGAAGAGGATGACTGTGTCTCTCTGTCCAAGGCCAGCAGCTTTGCAGATATGATGGGGATCCTGAAGGACTTTCACCGGATGAAACAGAGTCAAGATCTGTAAGTATTTGATAATTAGCTCTAGCGATCTATTCACTATTTTAGTTACCTGTGGCTAATGATCTATTAGAGAGTACTTACATAGCAAGTCCTCAGTAGTTGCATGTGTTAACTTCATTCACAAACTTTGCCACCTGCTTGCTAATGCCTGGGGCCCCAGTTTGAGGAGTAACACTTTACATTGTTGGGATGATCTAACCCAACCAAATGTTAGACTAATAGGAATTTTACAGGGTTCATCTAATCTCACTTTTGTCCCAGGGACTTTACCATATGGCTAATAAGTGTCCCCATATCCCACTCTTTAAAGTTGGGTTGACTAATAATTACTTTAGTATCTCAAATTAGTAGACTTTTTTGGTGGAAGAATTTCATAAAGTTGGGAGTTTCTGCTTTGAAAGGGTTAGTCTGTTACTAACCCTGCAATTTCAGAGACTTGAGAACAAGGATTTTTTTTTAGAAATCCCTAAACCTGGCTGCCCATCAGAATTGCTCATATTGGAGGGAGTGACACACCTTGCAGTGTTCAGTGGGGTCTGAGCACCTGCATGAGACACATCAAAGGAGCTTATTTGCAGTTTTCTGGGCTTTAAAACATTAAGTTTGACATCCAGACCTCAAAGGCCAAGATGTGCAGTGTTATTTGTTAATGTAGATTAAAAGCTCTTGCGAGAGAAGAGGGCTCTCTCCCAAGTTCCTGTTGAAGGGAAGGTTGCTCACCTTGTGCAGGGACCCCTTTTTGTGTCTGCCCATTTCTGTCTGAAAACCAGACAAGGCTGTCACTCCCTCCTTGCTTCCTAGTAGTTGATCCTTTAGGGAAGTCACTTTCACCTTCCTTCTCTGGCCCCAGGTCAGTTGTGGTCACACCCACAGTTCTTCGGTCTCCTGCACTCCCAAATTCAGCTGCTTCTCTGGAGCTGCCCTGAGTCCTCTTCTGGATATTGACTCCCAAACTTTTTTACTTGCGTTATGCCCCATAGTAGATCCAAGCCCCTCTTCCCACTTGTGTCCCCTTATATCTAGCAGAACTTCCTGAGGATATATATATGTGGATATAAGTCCACCAGGATTTCAAGCAACTATTTTCCAGATATCTAGAATATACTTTTATGATGTGTCAGGTAATTTGAACCTACGTCAACTTGGGAGTGGGTTTTGTTCCCAAAGGTCCCTTATACAAACATTTTATTATAAATTCTAGATCTCATTTTAAAAAGCTCACTGACCCCTTGATGGGGAGACAGAATAGTAGGAAACTTTCTGAACACCATTTCCCTGGAACGAATAAAGATCAAAATGGACAAGAGACATGTTACTTCATCTGCTGATCTGGGGAAAAGTTACTAAGAAAACATGGCACCAAAGGTGGGAGCAGAATCTTCGCCATCACAATCAATTCTAACTAGTTGATGGTCCTTTATTTTTGTCCACATTTTATAACCATTTGAAATAATAAAGCATTCTAGTTAAGAAATGAGATTTACAACCAGCGAGGCTTGCTTTTGGACTCTGGATTCACCACTGACTGACTTAATAGCTTTGGGGAAACTGTATAACCTTTCTGTGCTTCAGTTTGTAGAAGAGGACTGTAATAGCACCTAACCTCATAAGATTGTTGAGAATTAACACTTTTGAGGAGTAACACATTTGTTGGGGTGATCTAATCCAACCAAATGTTAGACTAGTATTGAGATCATATTCAAAGACATGGAACACTGCCCAAGACAGAGCAAGTACTCAAATTATTAAATTATTAATAATTAAGCTATTATTATGTTTCTAGGAACCGGAGTTTACTGAAGGAAGAGGACCCTGCCATCCTTATCTCTGAGGTTCTAAGAAGGAAGTTTGCTCTGAAGGAAGAAGATTTCACTAGAAAAGGAAACTGACAGCACTCAGCTCTGCACACTCAGTCTCCTGCTCTTGGAATTCCTTCAGTAGCTGCCTTCCTCGCTGCAGATGTTTGTCTCTGCATTAGAAGTTTTCTGCAACAGTCTTCCCGAAAGCTAGAGCCTGGACTGAAAGAGCTGGATTATTTGTTTCCCATACTTCAGACCTTTGCAGGAGCTAAGGCCTATTGTGGGCAGAGACACATTACAGGTAAATGTATAGATTGGAATGTTTTGGTCTAAAGGCTGAGCTAGAAGTTTCTGGTTTTTCCTTGCCCCTCTGTGAAAATAGGTCCTGAATGACTGACTTCACTGCATAAGACCCTATAACTGGTCTTACCAGACACTTTGTGCCCAGCTGTCACTTACTCTTAGCAGCTTTCTTGCAGCAAAGAGCTATCCGTGTTTATGTACATGTTCACAGGGCAAGAAAAGTCTTACGCTGCTCCATCACAAACCAACACCAGTGCCCAGCAATCACCCTCTTCCCGTGTCTATCACCTAGATGTACAGGTCGGCCCTCTGGACCAGCTGGCATTCGGGCTGCTTCTGGGGGGCCTGGGCTGTTTTTTTCTTAAATATATTTTGTAATACCGTACAACCAAACCTACCCTCCAAGGCCTTGGGGCCTCATTGGTTCCACTGACTGAACTCTTGCTCTTCTGTGGACTTTAGTTCAAGCCCAGTAGGAAACAGAAATGGGGAGGGGAAAGAGAATATCATTTTTCTTTGAGGCCCTTGACTTCTTTGTATTGGGCCAAGGTTTGTATCCACACCATGCATGACTCTGATGCCCTCAGGTCCCTTTCCCTGCAGTATGTATCCCGTGTGTGTTTGGGTTGAAGTACTACCTGACATTAAAGGATTTGGCAAGATACTGCATTCGCTGTGTCCATCTCTATGAGTTACAATCACCTGATGTACTTAATGGTATAGGATACCTATTAATTTTGTAGAATATGAACTTTCATTAACAGGCTCTGACTCTTCCCCCATCCCTTTTCCTTATAAGGTCCTACCTTTTATTTTTTTTAAATGTAGAGATTTTGCCCCAAGCTCTTGTAACCTTGCCCACTAGAAGCCTCTTAGGTACCACACCTGCATCACAGAAAACCAGATGGATAGTCTTGGATAGAACAAAGGTCAAATTAGACTGTTTAGTTCAGACCTACTGCAGTGACAGCATCTAATATTAAAAAGTTGCTTTTTCACCCTAGCTGGTTTAGCTCAGTGGATAGAGCGTCAGTCTGCAGACTGAAGGGTCCCAGGTTCGACTCTGGCCAAGGGCACATGCCGAGAGATTTCAGGCTCAATCAATGATTCTGTCATCATTGAATTTCCTATCTCTCTCTGAAATATTTTTTACAAAAAGGTTGCTTTTTCAAAAATAAAACTGGTAATGTTTTAATTACCACAAGAGCCACTTGGTAAACAGTCATTTATTTGGACTTAGTTTTATAAAGGGAGTTCTCACCCACTTTGTAATAGAGGAGTGTTACAGTCACATCTGGATTGCTATATAGCTTAGGATTTTTAAGGGAGAGATGTTTAAACAGAGACTATAACTTGAAAATGCTGTAAAGTCACCACAAAAATAAAATAAAAAATAATACTGCTACAATTCTTTTTTTTTTTTTTTAATATATTTTATTGATTTTGTATAGAGAGGAAGGGAGAGAGATAGTTAGAAACATCAATGAGAGAGAGTAATCAATCGGCTGCCTCTTGCACACCCCCTACTGGGGATATGCCCGCAACCAAGATACATGCCCTTGACCGGAATCAAACCCTGGACCTCCCAATCTCCAAGCCGACGCTCTATCCATTGAGCCAAACCGGTTTCGGCTACAATTCTACCTTCTATTGTACCTCTCTCCTCCCCTGCTATTTACCACTCAAAAAAGTGTTAGGAATTAGTGGTCCCAAACTTAGGTTGAGTAAGTATGATTACAACCAAAGATTAAAAGTATGCACATCTCTAAGAAGCAATGTCCCAGTTAGGCATCTGAAAGAGAAAAGAGTTGCTTGAGTAATAGGCCCTTTAGTGGAGACAGATAGGAATTCCTCCCCTGCCTCCTCAGTGCTCACTGAATTCAGACAAGGAATTTACTAGCCACCTGTTCTTCAGGAAAAGGCATGATGCCAACCACACTGTCTCAACAGGTATCACCACTGGCTTTATTTACACAAAATGTTCAACAATAGCTTCATTCCATACCTCCTCAAGTATTTTTAAGACCAAACCTTCAAAGATATTTAGACTTGGTGCCTGATAACTTGGTTACCTTCAGAGTCCTGGGTAAAGAGCAAGTCAGGCTGCAGGTTTAACTGAGTGAGCCTATCCTCGCATCGAGCCCAAGGGCTGTTAGGAAACTGCCCTAAATCCCGATTCCTATTGTTAGTTACCTCTTGGAAAGGAACTCTGAAGTTGTGAGCAATGACCCGCTGGCCCTGAGAATCCTCAGTGAAAAGCTGACTCCAGGAGTCCCTGTCATTCTTTTCACTGTCCCAGGAGACCACAGGAACAGAACCAGATCTTTGTTTCACTACTTCTGTGTTTTCTCCACTCCAGGACTCCCTGTAAGTTTGAAAGCGGACAGGAGCCTGCCTATTTTCTTTGGCAGACACCTTTTCCAATTTAGGCTTGTTCAAGGGCTGTTGGCCCTTGCCCCCGGGTGGTTTACTGCGTCTGTCCATACCCTGATGATTCCTTTTCTTAGATCCATGAAGCCATTCCCTTTTCCAGGAAGAATCCTGATCTCCCTCCTTTTGGTCCAGCAAGCAAGAACTTTCCAAGTCCTGGGTGAAGGAACAAGCCAGTGAGTCTTGATTCTCTCCAGCACAGACTATGTTAGTCTCAGGCTGGATCAAAGACAGCCCAGTCAAGAATGGGGTTCCCAGTCTGTGGTGGCCAGAAGCCTGGAGGGACTGAGGAGAAAGTCCAGCTTCCTGGATGTCTGTAGGGGTTGAAGTGGCTACAGGGGGTGCCACGCAATCGTCGCCCAACCCCTGGATCAGATGGTGTAGCTGGGTTGCATCATTCTTAGACTCTCTGTTGGTCTGACTTTCTATATATGATGAGACACTCCTCTGATCACCATTTTTCTTTCCTAGTGAAACAGACATGGACAAATATTATTCTACAGGAAAACTGCCCTAAGCAGGATTTAGCTGGTTGTTTCTGAAATCAGTATCAGCTATTATCACTACCTTGTGCAGGGGTCTTAGACTCCTCACATCCCTTGTCACTGAGCTTCCAGCTTTCAATCTCTATTCTTGCCTGAATGATCTTTCTAAAACACAGATCTAATATATCCCCTACTCAAATATATAGATGCTTCCATAAGCTCCCTAATAAAGTCAAACATGATATAATCAGACCACTTTTCCAGCTTAGTTTTCATATGTGAAGTTTGTGTTACTGATTTCTTTAATAATCACATTGCAGAAACTGTTTTGTAAAAGATTGGTCTATTTTGCCTAAGAATTCTATATAAACAGAATATACCAGAATTTTACAATTTGAAGTGCAAAGTGTTTTTATTTATTTATTTTTAAAAGCCTGTCTTTGTTAAAGCAAAAGAGCTTAAGTTTTTGTTTGGGGTATGGAGAGTGCATTCTGAAAGTTTATGCAAAGCAATCCTGGGTACTGTACCAAGAATTAGAGCTCTCCTTTCACCTGGCAAGAACCTTGCTCGGTAAGCCCCAGCCTGCTCTGAGTCAGCTGGTCCCCTGAAGTGGGACTTGGAGGCAAAGAGCCATCAAAGGATATTGAGACACAATCCAACTTTATGCAAACCTTTTTTTTTTTTAATATTTTAATTGTTTTGTGTTATTGTTTTTGTGTTTTGTTGTTTTGGTTTTTTTTTAAATATATTTTATTGATTTTTTACAGAGAGGAAGAGAGAGGAACAGAGAGTCAGAAACATCGATGAGAGAGAAACACCAATCAGCTGTCTCCTGCACACACCCCCATTGGGGATGTGCCCACAACCAAGGTACATGCCCTTGACTGGAATCGAACCGGGACCTTTCAGTCCACAGGCCGAAGCTCTATCTGCTGAGCCAAACCGGTTTCAACTATGCAAACCTTTTTTAAAAAAATATATTTTTATTGATTTCAGAGAGAGGGAGAGAGAGATAGAAACATCAATACTGAGAGAGAATCACTGATCAACTGCCCTCTGCATGCCCCACACTGGGAATCGAGTCCGAAATCCAGACGTGCCCCTGACCAGAATCGAACCTGGTACCCTTCAGTCCGCAGACCGACGCTCTATCCACCGAGTCAAACCAGCTAGGGCAATGCAAACCTTCCGAAGAAAAAAACATTGTTGAACCTTGACTAATTTGAGATGCTTCATACAAAAGTATCAATTATCAGCCAAAACCGGTTTGGCTCAGCGGTTTCTCTCTCATCAATGTTTCTAGCTCTCTATCTCTCTCTCTTCCTCTCTGTAAGAAAATCAATAAAATATATTTAAAAAAAAAAAAAAAAAAAAAACGTGATTAAAAAAATATATATATCAATTATCAATTAATTATGCAGACTTCTTGTGGCCAATCCAAGACATACACGTAACTAAAGGTCAGCTCCCCTATATACCCTCAACTCCCAAGTATACCTTTCCTCACTGCTCTGACAGGGAATACAAATACTTAATATTAGACTGAGCAAAACAGAAACAGTAAAGTATGTTTGTAAAAGCATGTATATATTGCTTTTCAGAAGGCGATTTTGTTTTATAACCTCTTATAATAAGAGAGCTATGCACTGGTGTCACTTAAAAATGTTCCAGCATGAAAAAAAAAAAAATGAATGCACTCCTTTTGGCTCCCTGGGTGCTCCCAGGCAGGTCACCATACCTGATTGCAAGGTGAAGAAGGAAGCAATGCTGGCCTGCCGAACACCTGCAGGTGGAGTTCTTTGAGGAGCCTTTCTCTCTCTAGGCAAGAGTGTTAGCATTTTGGTGCTTGACTTGATTAAATGTGTCTGAAAA